TCTTTTACGCCGCTGCTCTGCTCTCCACAGTACATAGAGAAGGGAGACTCTCTCTTCAAGCGCTAGCTCGACAGCTGCCATCTTGCAAAGATACCGTCAAAATATGATATTTTGACGCGCGATGGATTTTTCTTGGACACGCGTTGAGGCGCGAATGTGCACGCGTCAAATTAGGGGCGTTTTTGTTCGCGTCCATCGCGTTCGGTGTGAACACACCGTTACAGGTAAGGCAGGTGACAGAAGGTAACAGAACCCCAAGGAACAATAGATGTACGGCAGTTGGTCAGGCCTTACCTCCTGTTTCCAGTAGTAACGGGAACCCTCCAGCCTTTGATCTGGCTAAGCTCAGGGTCAGCCACATCAATACGCAAGGGAAGACGGGGCATCCATACACTCATCTCCAGCTGGGCACTCAGAAAACCATATGTAAAGTTGAGCATTATCCTACTTTTCCCTCTGGTTTCCTTCCCATTTAGATATACATAGCTGCAGCGCTCTGACACCTGGAAAGAAAAATAGAGAAGAAAAATAAAGAACAAAGGCCTCAAGAAGTATGTCTTGGTTCACAAACTCAAAGTTGCTCGAAAACTTATGTAAATATACCGAACAAGAAAGTTATTTTAAAATGTACACAGGAATCACTTGACCAGAACTGGGACTGGACTGTCATCTAGTGATGTGAAATCAATATTCTCTGGATGTACCCTGGTGAAGGTCTTTTAATGTAAAGCCTATGCAAACTGAATAAGTTTGAATATATGGATGATGAGAGGGTAAAGGGGACAGAGCCGCCAAACCCAATAAGGCAAAACCACACACATAGCAACATTTTATTAATTTCACACCACTTTCAAAGTCTGGCCTGGGAATTGCAGCGTGTTTGTGTTTATGTCATGTAAATTCACATCTGTGGTCTCTATGAAACTGTTACTGAATGTAGATTAGCTCTCCTTTATGACTGTTCCTGTAATGCCTTACTGTAGGTTGGAGTGCCACAATCCCCACCAGCGAGCGCAATGAGGTGAGACACAGCAGTTGGTGTGTTTTATTTAAGATTGGAGGCCTATCTCCACTGCCGCCGTACTTATCTTAACAAACCAGTGGCTCCACAAAGGTAATTGGAGAGCACTAGACTGGAGAATAGAATGGAGCACTGGAGAGAGGGAGGCAAAAAGGAGGAGGGAAAAGTGAGGAAAAAGCAGGAGGAATGAATTCTGAAGCAAGTCGAGCTGAACTCTCATGGAAATGATGACAGGGGGCAGTTCATCATGCTAACTGTTCATGACTCAGATTTCTTGGGCAGCTCTCCAGTTCAACTTCCTCTTCTATAGTCAGCAGACGATTTGACGGTGGAAGATGAGGGATGCCATATCTACTGCTAGCAAATAGATCAAACGTATTTCTTTTTAACTTACCACCCCTCATCTTCATGTGATAGCACAGGAAAGAATGCACCAGTTGTAAATGTTCACCTACCTCATTGATCCTTTATCCGACTTAGATAAATGACTGTCTGTGGGCCTGAACAGTGTGTATAAACATGATTTTCTTATTTTTTTTTTTTTTTGCAACATGTTGCTAGTCAAATAGTTATGTTGTCACTTTATTAGCCTACATATGTTTTCAATTATCTGTATAATGTGCAGACTTCAAACTATCGATTTACTAGATTTACTATTTATCATGTCAAAAGTTGCAGAGCAGCCCACAATTTTAAGGGGTGAAGATACAAACATTAATTCAAATTTATTCCAGCAAGGGACAAGAGTGTGACAGAAAAAAAAATACAGGCCAGCAACAACTACCCACACCCTGATATCAAAGCTTACCAAGCATGTGGAAAGACATAAACTAACCCTAATTAAAAGGTGGTAGCAAAAGATCCTTATAACCAAACTGGGTGTATGTTGTCCATAACCAAGAAACTAAAGCTTGATATTTTAAAGACCCAACAAGTAGCAATTATACAATCACATTACATTTTTCAGTGATATAGTAATATAAACGTACTGTATTGCTTTACTAAATCCAGTATCCACATTACAATTGTAGTTATGTTATCACATGTGTCATAAAGCTTCAGTTATCTACATGATAGACCGCTAAATATACAGTCCAATATGCCTTTTCTCCTCCTACACACTGCACTGCACTGCACGATAAGAAAAGAGCACAATAATAAAGCACAAACTATGTCCAGGACAGAAAAAAGCTGCGCTATACTGCTAACACAACGCTGGTTCTTTGCAAGCATCTGCACACACTGCATACAAACACAAAGCTAGCAAAGAACTCTGTTTGATGAAGCTGAGTGCATGCTGACTTGCAGCCCAGCAGCCCGAGTTTCAGCAGGTAACAAATAGAGTGATGTGCAGTCAGGTTTGTATACGGCGTTTCTCCCTGCACATGTTTTAAAGTCACTTTGGGAATGTTTTTAACTTCTTAACAAACCTAAACAATGACAATTTATTTTAGGCTATGTTGCAGAGTGCATTGAATTACCTCCACTGGGGAGTAGTTAAGTAAGAAAATGCATTACTTTTAAGAAAAGTAATGAGTAATGTGTTACATTAATTATAAATAATACGTTATTTCTGTGTTTATTAAATGCCTCTCAAGCCAATTCAAACAAAGGCCTAACAAAGTCATCTCCCCGCCTCCCCCTCTCCTACTATGACTAGAAAGGGAAGCAGGGGGTTTCTGAGGGTGTGAGGTGTAAGGAGCACTCGAGGAGATCAGAGGCACACAGTGGCATTGCCAGCTGTGTGAATTTGTTGCAAGGAAGGCATCAGGAGGACCGCTTGACCCTCATTTATTTTTAAAACGAAGATATTGCCTTGGATTTTACTGGAGTCCAGACAATTAAATATGCATAAAACTTGACTCATGACACGTAATTTAAAATACTACAGGGATTTGTGGGTCCCGCTTACAGTGTATTGTGAGAGACATGAGAAAACGCTACCTGAATAAACTCATTCCACTCCATAAACTTTTACTGTGTATTTACTTATTACTTTAGCATGCAGTTATAAAAAGATAATTGGAAAGTAGGACAAGAAGGATGTTAACTGGAGGAAATTGAAATTGCACAATTAGATATTCTTTATACTGCAGTTTTATTCTTTTAACTGTGCATCTTTTCTTCTGTACTTCAGCCTATTGCATATTTCAGCCTATCAGATATATTTCAGAGCAATGAATTTTACTGCAGTGCTCAATAATAGTGAATGTTTTATCTACCATTCCCAGCTTGTGTTGTTTTCTGTTGATCTCTGTTTGGGAGACTGCTGAAATGTGTTGGAATGGGCAGTCCATGAACTTCATGTTGTGTTAATTGCTTTCTTTCTGTTACATTATTATGCTTCCTAAATTCACCATAAAACTATTTCAGGTTAGAAGGGTTTAAAAAAACAAACTATGTATCAATGCATTAGTAAAGTACTACATGAAAAGTGTTCATTCTTCCTCTTCGCATCATGAGACAAGAATGCATGCATTAGAACTATAGGATAAAAGGTCAGTATAATATTTTAACACAAAAGACTAGCTGTGTTCAGCCTGGGTGCTGGATACATATATTAAGTTTATACAAACACGGTTTATACAGACAGGAACACATGGTATTTTTAAAATCTCTAACATGACATAGGAGGATTTTATGAGGTAATTCCAGGAATCGTCTAAGGTTTTGACCAAAAACAGAGAAGTTGATGGCCTGCTTGAAGGACAACAACAATCTATCAGTTGCAGTAAATATGGAAAAACAGCAATATTTATTTTAGGATATATAACAACAACACCCAGAAACCCTCATGTCCTCACTGGGCCAAAGTTTATTTAAAGTGGACAGAAGGAAAGTGGAAATCTGTTCTGTGGTCAGACCGATTGAATTTTGAAATTCTTTTTGGAAAACATGGCACATCTGGAAGGGCACCATCAATATAGATAAAGGTGTTAGAGCAACATATGATGTGTTCAGGGAAGACCTTGCATATTTGAGAAAGACAACCACATACTGTAGCTATTCCAACAGCATGATGTCAAAGTAGAAGAGTCCAGGTGGTCAGCGTGCCTGTCCACAGTCCAGACCTTTCAGCTATTCAAAACATTTGGCCCATCTAGAATAAAAAAATACAACAAAGAAGACCCCAAACCAGAGCAGCTATAATCCTATATCAGACAAGAATGGCACATTTCTCTACCAAAGGTCCAGCAATTGGTCTCTGCAAGATTAGGAACAAGCCAGAGTTTTAAATGTGTTAATGTGTTGGGATGCCTAAAAATATCTAATGTGTTTTTTTAAGACTGCATTGAAGAAATATGTTAATTCAGATATGCAGCATGAAATTATCCCACTGGTCACAATTATGTATTCTCAAAATAAGAAAAATAAAAAAAAATACATTAAAAATAATAATAATAATAAAAATGATGGCTGATTATTTCAAAGGGTCAGTAATGGCATACTGCATTATTACAGTAATCGCAGTAAGAAAACACACAATTAGCATAAAGAGAAGAAGTAATGCGCCTTCATTTTCACATAACAATCCACTGATGGTGTATCTACAATAACTATTTCACATGCAGGACTAAAAAACAGGCTGCATCGGCCTATTACCACTGCAAGTTTAAAGATCTAACTGGTGCAGAAGGGGTGAATGCTATGGGATTCCCTCTCAGTGCTTGCAGGATCAGAAATCCCAGATTCATTGATTTTTGGTGACTGCTCGTCATTGTCCCAAGAGAAATGTTCCCCCGTCTGTAAAACTGGTTGAAATCTCACTGTTATCCTAGTGTCCAGCATGGCAACACAGGAAGGGAAGAGTTTCAGAGTAAAATAAAATTAGATATGAACGTTTTTTTTGGATATGAAAGATATAACATAACCTCGAGTGCTTTGTTTGATTACAAAATTGATTACATTTGATTTTCCCTCCAGTCCTTTATACAATGCCAATGCATCCCATATTTTCTGTGTACGGGATAGCGCATAGGTTTGTTTTGGAAAATGTGTAATATAGCTCCATCTGCATATACTTCATACAACTGAATTCCCCAATAAAGGTTCAGTCTGTTCCGCTTATGCTATAAAGAGTTAAATCTGTGGTTTTAGCCCTCAACTTCACCCAGTTAGTGGTATTGCATTAAGAGAGTCGGTGACTACAGGAAGCATAAGGTATTCATTCAGAGACACATAATAACTGGATTCAGTTGATACAGAAAATCATTACAAACGCAGTCTCACTCTCTTCAGCTCTTTTCTCACTCTCTTACTGTTTACTTACTGCCTTACACTCAGCCCATGGCAGGTCAGCTGTCTGATAGAAAATAACAAAAATCTTTCTAATTTTCCAGTTCTTCTCCGTCACCCTCACTTCTTTTTCTGTCCTAGTAACATGAATCCATTGCACAAAGGTCAAATCACTTAATGACTGAGTGGTGTGAGCATAAGCTTGTGCTATATTGGAAGAGGTTGCTTTTATCTGTAATACTTTAGCACACACTGACACACTAGAGTTGGGCTTGTTGTGTGTGATGCCACAGTGACAGTGGATGTCTTAGAGGCATATACCAGAACGATTCATGAACTATTTCTTTTTTTTGTATTAAAATTCACTTTCACTTTTTGTGCAAATGACTCCTGATTTTCATTCAATTCAAAACAGTATCTACATCGATTGCATCAATCCTTCAATTACATCTGCTGTAATAACTGCATTAGCTGATGTAGCTATTTTTTTATGTAATTATTTATTAATCGTGCATAATACAGAACTCATATACACAGTTAACACTATGCGTTCTAGCTTAGGTTACTTATTTCATAAAAAGCCAAACACACTAACCAGAAACATGAGAAATCATGCTAACAGTTTTCTTGACTTACCTTGAGCACATCCTCATCTGTAGATCTACAGTTGGTGTAGTTGGTCACGTCAGTGACTGAACCACTGGCCTCAACAGCGAGAGTTTTCACTGGGACTGAAACTCTTTTTCCTGTCAGTACTGCAGTATTCAATATATCTGCGTTCTGGGCAAAAAAAAGAAGCGCAAATAAAGCACATGCTAGCAGTCTAGGCTAACACAACATCATGGCTTTTTTGGTGTTGTGTACAAAGAAACAGAGCCACACAGTTAGTAGTTTGGGAATCATTTGTTAACATTTTTAGCCTAATTCCTAGATATTAGCTGAAAGAGTGAAAAGAGTCACGCGCTTCCAAAGGGATGAATCTTTGCTCTAACCATATTCCCAAAACATCCAGCCCCTCTTGCAACACATCAGCCGCAGAAGAACATGCACTTTTTGACTCTGGATCTTTTTTAAAGATTATTTTGTATCGTTTTAGATTCAAGATTCTTTATTTGTCACGTGCACGGTTATACAGGTATAACACGCAGTGAGATGTGACCTGATACGCTCCTCGACCGTGCAAAGAAAAAAAGAGAGAGACAGACAGAACTTTACAATATTATAGTTATATACTATAACTATAGTAATTATAGTATATAGAACTTTTTAGTATTATTACTTTAACATGATTGTCAAGGGAGTGTCGGAGAGCAGAAGCAATGTACCAGATCTGTAAATTACACTAACATACAGGTACATATTTTAATTATCAGTCTGTCGCAGGGCTTACACACACAGACAAAAAAAACCCAGTTGCGCTCACATTCACACCTATGGGCAATTTAGACTGATCAATTAACCTATCCCCAATAACTGCATGTCTTTAGACTGTAGGAGGAAGCCGGAGTCCCCGGGGACAACCCATGCAAACACAGGGAGAACATGCAAACTCCACACAGAAAGACCCCGGCCTGATGGTGGAATTGAACTCAGGACCTTCTAGCTGTGCGACAACAGTGCTAACGACCGTGCCACCGTGCTGTCGTATTAAAACCCATACACACATATTTTTAATTCTAAGTTCATTATTAAGTGAGTTAAGGTATGGGGCAAAATGACACTTATATTCAAACACCATGTTGTTGCCTTTTTCTTTTCTTTTTTTTTAAATTTTTTTTTAATAATAAGGAACTCAGTAGGAAAAAGTCTTTGGCCAACATTTTGTCATGGTCTTGGATTTTCAAGGCTGTTTCTGAGCTTGTTCTGGACTCATTACTCATTCTTTTGAATTTATGAAATGTTGGAGTTTTCTATTCTGAAGAGAAACAGAATTTGTTATTTTTAGTTTCTGGTTCTTGTCTAGTCTCCAAGTTTTGTTATCCTTTTGTTATCCCCATTCATGTTCCCATGTTTATCTGGTCTCTGTTCTATCTAGCTTTCCTGCCTTATTAAGTTAATACGTGTCCCTATGTTTATCCATTCCTATTCCCATATTCTTCTGTTTCATCCTTTTGTCTGTCAGTCATATTTCCATATGTGTTTATCTCCAGTCCCAGTGTCAAGTTCACATCTCAGTCTAGATCTCAGCGTATGTGTGTGTTACTTCCTGTTCTATTTTGATAGTCTCCTGTCTCGTGTGTGTGTGTGATGTTACGTTCTCCTCTTGTCTCGTCAGTCAGATTCTGTTCAGCTGTGATCCCCAGGTGTGTCCACTCTGGCCTAATCTCCTCTTGTGAATATATTGTCTGCATCGCCCTCTGTTCTCTGTTGCATGTCAGTCTGCTGAGTCCTGCATCTGGGTCCACACCTTGTTTGCAATAAACCCACAATTCGTAAGAAACTTTCATGACCCTGCTAGACTATCATATCATACATGTTTTACAGTCATCACTGTTATAGCTGTAGGAACAGCAATGTGAAGCAAGACCAAGTGTTACCATGAGTAAATGATCAAAGCACACATTAAAACTGGTTAAATGTCCTAAAAACTTCCCCTCGATGACAGTATGACTGTGTCACAAACACACACCTGGATGAAAATTCCCTAATTCCTGTAGTGCATTATATTGCCCACAGATCAGCACTAACACAGACTAACACCTAAACCTGATTACATGTCTAATCTTCTAACCTATTTTCCCACCTTTTACTGTACATCGTTGTCAGTGCAGAGCAGCAGCTTATCCCGCAACTTGTCATCTAGCCTGATGCAGCTTTAATTTTACACTTTAACTCCTCCTTCTACACAGATTTACAAATACATCCCAGTTTATAAGATCTCTGAATATGTCTTTTTTTTAAGGCAGAGGCGTTGTGTGTGTAAGAAGCTTTGGCTGATCAGTAGTGGGGTTTTTTATCTCTTGATACTTGCGAAATAAAGTGCCAGGCGTCGCTCGGCAGATGTTCCCTGACAGCTTCACATTCTGAACTCTGCTGGCTTGACAGCTGCTGACCGCAATTCCAAAAGGACATGCTCTAGTTCAGACTCCAACACTGACCCAAACATAAGCCACTGGATCAGGGATAGCAGAAAATCAGAAAGCAATAGCTTCATTCTGTGGTGATGCCAGTGCCACACTGAGAGGTCTTGATGGTCGATGTTACCATAAGCAGAAACCTGGTTTCATCAAGTTCAGCTAAAGTAGTTCAGCTTTGTTTTTCATGTGATTTATGAAAAGAGGTGTTTGTTTTCACTCTGCTGCAAACTCTAGCATTATTTGTTTATTCATTCACTTCTCGAGTATAAGTGGTAAAGGAATGAACGCTACAGTATAAATCATATTCTGATGGGGGTTTTTTTTTTGGGGGGGGATTGCTCCCAGACATTGTGATTCATGTTTGTTCGACAGTCACTTGAATGAATGTTAGATTTTTATGATATTCCATTGGTTCAATTTTTTTTCAAAGCTGTGAATATGCTGGGGATGATTCATGGTCTTGTAATAGTTGTTTTTGTATGACGAGAGCTGCGACCTCCTTGTGAAAAAGGCCAGTTCACTCCACTGTTGGAAAAAGGGTATTTTCCTCAAGTGAATTATGCAAGTGACAGATGAAACATATAGTGTTGGCTTTCAAATGATACTTGAAATTACAGTTACCGTAAAATAGACGTGTGGATCATCTTTTAAGGACAACTGTAGAGTAGAGCTACTTTGACATTTTAGAGAGTTTTCTTTCGAAATGTTTTGAGATTGCAAGTGGCAGCAGGGAATCAGTGAAAGCATGTTGAATATTTATGCACAATACTGTGATCAAAGGGGAGACCCACAATGAGTTGGCATGGAAGAAAAACTAAACAAAGGAAGACTGGTCACAAAAGCAACTTGCTGACAACATGACATTCATTTCATTCTATTCAAATACAAAATACAAAAATTTATGACAGTTTCTACTATTTGATTGAGCTGACTTTCAAAAGATTTTAAGGTTTTTGTCCTCTTTATATCTTTGCAGTGTGATATGACGACACTAATTAAAATGCTAATTACCGCGTTTATTGAACCTTGCAAATGAGTGCATCGGAAATGCTGACAGACTCTGAACACTTTCAGAAAAAAAAGACTATTTGTGCATGTTAAGTCCGGAAAATGTGGCATTTTTCTCAGCAGCCAAGAGTTCACTTTCTTGTGGCATTACCTTGCTATATATGATGCACATACCCATCTCATCTTGTTTATTCATTGAGAATATGAAACAGTTTTTTTTCTTTGAACCAAGGCAGTAAATGCCAATTTCATAGAGACTGAGTGAAGTAGCTGGGGGCTCTTGCATGCTCTGATATTGCCCTGTGATAAAGTTAAATGCCCTGGCAGATTGCCTAATCAGGTATCTGACTTTAAGCCTTCCACTTTCTTTGCTATCAGTATTAATAAGAGTACAACCGATTGAATAAATAATTCAATACAAAGCCTGAAGGCTACGCAACATCTTTAAATCACAGTCATGAATAAAAACAAAGTAAGGCATAGATGAATGCAAACAACTGTAAGATATGTGAAACATGCATAATCTTATACACATAGATTTATGCTATAGTGTGATATTTCAAATAAATATACTCCAATATACGTTATGCTAAAACAATTCTCACCATCACCAGCGGTGCCAGCCCCACGTAATCTCTCTGGGTGGTGTAGATCCGCGTTACGCCCACATCCTTCACATTCCCTGGCAACTCCAGACGCCAGGAGATGGTCTGACTTTCAACCTGCTGTGAAACAGCTTTTGGTACAAAGTCCAGTTGTAAAACCTCCAGAAGGCCCCTGTTTAGAGATACAAAAAATTATATTTAAAATGAGTTTAGGCAAATTAAAGCAAGCCTAAATATGTTTTGGTGAAGAGCAGTCAGCACAATTGTGTCTATTTTTTTTTTTTTTTACTACTGACTGACTAACTGCAGGTGTGGATTTAATGCTTAAGTTTAATATTTCATTTTTGTAGAATATGAGAATACATATTACATATCAAGGTTGTAGGGAACATTTAGCAAATAGCAAATTATTACCACTTAATTAACAAAGCCAGGTCATAATCTTTTATCAAGCGTGGCTGTAGCTAAGTAATATCACATTGAACTTTATGTGACTGGGGTAATGTTATTGGGTTATAATAGGCCACAAACTTGTGGTAACAATAGTATAGTAATATTCTGCTAACAATATAACAGCCTGCTTGCAATAAAATGGTCTCTTTATATAATTTTATTCATTTCATATGCTGACTTGTGTTAGTAACCTCATAATAATAAGGTAATGCTGGTTGATACTTAACATATTAGGATCCTATCGTATCATGTTAGTACCACATGCCCAATATGGACTAAAATCTCCTTTGAATGTTTCCAGCATCTTGTTGAATCTATGCCACATAAAATTAAGGCAGCCCTGAAAGCCAAAAGGGAATCCAACCCTGTACTAGCAGGGTGTACCTAATGAAGTGGCTGGTGAGTGTATATAATGTATTGATTGTACACTCACTCACATAATGCAGCTTTCCTACTAAAAATGGTCCAAGTGCAAAAGGAGCTTAGCTGTAGTGAATAGTCAATAGTGTTCCTTGGAGAATAAAATGGGGGGAAATCAGAAAATTAAATGGAGAGAGCTTAATCTGAACTCTGTGAAAACCCACATGTTATGTTGGAAAGTAAAGACGATACACATGAGGTCTCATTTCCATCAGCAGATGGAAGAATAAAGTGAGAGTGTGGAGAGAAGATTAAGTGAGCTGGCAGAGACTTCAGCCAAGTATTCTGGTCAAAGGATTGTCAAAGAAATGGGATGTGATGTTATTTAATGTTGGAGAGTGTGTAGGCATACCTGTCAGTAGGAAGAGATCAAAGGGAAAATGAAGCAGGGTGTGAATGGAAGTGTGGCACTTTGAAGTGGAGCAAAACTTTGCATAAAGCAAAACAATGAATCTCTACATGATTGAAACTTGAATTTTAAAAGGATGAACAGTGTTGAAATCGGTGGTAAGAAAAAGCAATGCAAACACATACAGGATATACAGAAACGCTCGCACTGCATCAAAAGTATGCCAAGGACTGAGCGCTATACGATAACAAAGTGCAATGAACGAGGTCACGATGAGGTTATGTGAAGCACTCTAGGTCGCAACTGAAAACACACAAAACAAACTTTTTCATTTTCTTTTTGGGTTGTGCGCAACTGTAAGCTTTGAAATGCTTGAAGATTAAAATGATTGATTATAAGGAAATCAAAGTGTTCTGCAATTGATGCTTTAGGTGGGAAAAACATGAAACATATTCAAGTGAAAATCTGTTTTCTGCATTTAAAGGGCAAGATTCTCGTGGGTAACATGAAGTTTGTCGCAGAAAATCGGTGAAAAATGTCGGCAATGACGACCAAACAAACTCAGCATTTTCTGCCTTTCTTTTTTTAAGTGGTAAATAAGCATAAATTAGAGTTAGATAAAAAGATTAAGCTTTTCTTAGTATAAACCAGCACCATGCCAACTTAGCTTAGTGTGAAGACTGACATTGGGGTGGGGGAAGTGGCTTGCCAGGCCAAAAAAAGGGGTTTAGCCCTTAACCCTCTTGGATTTTTGTACAGATTAAAGAGATACCATGTGGTAATCAGTGAGCGTTAGAGACACTGGTAAGTGGATTTTGTTACTTCTGGACAGAGTTAGGCTCACTTTTTCCTTCCATTTTGTCCCATATTCATTTGAAACTGTTATCAAAGAGGTGTCGAGCTTCTTATGCCAAACATACAATTTGACAGGAAAGTGTTTTTTTTCTCCATTTTTCATAAGAGCCGTGGAAAAGCATGAGTATAAAATATCCAAATAAGACACTAATATAAAAAGAGCACTTAAAACTCAGGTGCTGGTTGAGTTCACTGGGGTAAGAAGGCAACCCATATGCTGCAAGGCATATGGGTTTGATTCCACCCCAGTGCACTTCCTGCATGTTGTTACCCTGCTCTCTCCCCCCTTTTTCTCTCCGCTTCATTGTCCTTTCCAGCAGTAGAGGCTAAAAATAAATCTTAAAAAAAATGTCTAAAATGTCTAAAATTAATTCCAAAAGTCTAATCTTTTGAGACTTCTGAGACTGAAGAAGTCACTTGGATGAATGACAAAACGTTTCTCCCAGAAAACGCTACGTCCAGATGAACAGAATCAACTTTTGGAGGTTCTAATCTTTATGTGTTTTCGTGTAAGTAAAATAGAGCCGGGCAGATTTTAAACAGATTGAAATGATTCACAATGTGAATACCTTGAGAGAGAGAGAGTGTGTGAGAGCGAGACAGATAAACACAGGAGGGGTTTATGACCCTCTTTCCTAGAAACCATCTATGGAGAGGGGGCTTTAAAGCCATGGATGCATCATGACTTCAGAGCACAGTGATGGGAGTATGTGTGTGTGTTTGTGTGCATTTGCATGCGAGTGTGTGTTTGCAGGCCTTGCATGTGCGTATGTGTTCCCTAGTGGAAGCTCAGCACAAGAAACGCGACTTGGAATATCTCTACTCCCTAATCTCCACTTCGGAACGTGCAAGCGCTTAAGCCCGGATAACGTGGCCATGATTATGGATTATTACGGATATGTGGGTCGGACGGATGGCGGGTGGTGTGTGTTTGTGTGGGCGGGGGTTGCTGGGTAGAGGTGGCTGCTGGTGTGTCACCAGCATCAGCATCAGGCACTACTGATGTATTCAGCTTGTGTGCATCGGGAAAAAGAGGTGGAGAAAGTTCTATGAATCCTGTTTTAATTCATCTGTGTTTACTGTTAAAATGAATGAAGTCTTTACTGATTTCTCATTTTTCAAAGCTATTTGACTGGTAAAGTCTCACAGAACTGGGGAAATGGGGGACTTTTTGTTTTATAGGAAGTTCAGAGAGAACCAAGATGAATTAAGATTATAAATGATCATAAATGTATAATTGCACAAAGTAATGTGTTTTACAGTAAAAAAAAAAAAAGAAAGAAAGAAAGAAAAAGAAAAAAGAAAAATAGAATATATTTATTTAAAGAAAAAAAGAGGTAAGTATTATACACACAAAACATGTTTGCTTATATTTGCATATGAGGGACTATGTGAAATTCATTTACATCCAGATATTAAAAAAGAGGATTTAAACACCACAACCAACAATATCAAAGTAGTTACCGTATATGATTGTCTGGATTTATTCTTTTCCCCCACAGTTTAAAGTCTTATTCTCTCAGTGTCACATGATGTTTTTATATGAAGCAGAGTAATCCTGCTAAGCAGCTTCTGATCATATTCTCGGTACTATGTTTACAGGAAACACAGGAAAATCTTGCTATGCATAGTCTCATATACATGATACGTAACAGCATTGTCACTATTGATCACAACACCTTTGCAGGGTTCCATAACATATTCAGGAAGTAATGGTTTTGTGAAACTGGATAAAGACAGTCTAATGGCCTCTAGTTGTTAAATCCCATGCCTGCTATTTTGGGTGGTCAGTCTTTACGGGACATAATTTTGTTATTGTTATTATTAATAGTAGTAGCAGTTATAGTAGTAGGAGTAGTATTACTAGTGGGAAGGAATAAAAAATTGCACCTGAAGAACATCTCATTTATTCTGAGCAGAAATTGGAGACACGCAGGGAGACACTCTTACCTCCTCAGAGAAAAATGTCTATTATATGAAAATGGATACAGTCTGTGCATCACCAAGCATAATACTGCTTTTTCTTCTCTTTTTTTTTCTTCTCATCTAAAAACATTCATTTTGCCCTGTGAAGTGAATGCAACACCGAACACACACTGTTGATCACTTTTCCTTCAGCGGTTATTGAAATCTCTATGACAATAGACGTCTCCACAGAATAAACAACGAGAAAAGATTGCTTCATGAGTGTGGAGAAACTGTGTTTTACGAAGGGTATGTGAAGGGTCTAGTGAAAACAGGCATATGCACTGTACGTGCAGTAGACTGACCTCTTTGCAGTGACAGCAACCTTCCTGCGGCAAACAACAGACACCGTGTTTGGAGCTGCTCCTCTGCCAGGCTCTACCACCATGTCCCACAGTGCTGAGTCACTGGGCCGAGCTGCACTGAATGACAGGCCCATCTTTACTGCAGCCCTGCAGCAAAGACATGCACATATAAATAGGACACTTAGTATAAAGTGCAACTTTGTACACTTTTGTAAAATGTCATAAAAACAAACACAGGACAGGGGATGTGCTGTGTAACAATAAAGAATTAGGAATGAAGAAAGCTCCATAATGTCTGAATCTTTTATTACAGAACATGATGCAATGTGATTTCCTGCTGTAAAGGACAACGTCGGGTTATACGGAATTGTTCTGACGCTCAAATGAAATATTTGAACTGTTGCATCTGTCTCTTTTTGGATGTGCAACAACAATATTTGCCATATCTTTTAGTATAATGTACACAGGTACTAAGGTTACTAAGGGTTGTGTGCACTTGATTGACAACGTGTGGGTTTTCTCTGCGATCTTTTGTGTGCTTTGCTGCTCGTATTATGTTGAACAAGGTGAGTCACTGACAAACTGAGTCACAGGTTGCTTGAAGGGTGAGAATTAGTGGGATTATTTAATTCCCATTAGCCATTAGAAGATCTGAAAATCAGTTAATCATATGTCTTACACACACAAGTGTGCTAAACGAGAAAAATCCTGCAAATCCAGTTATCACCACAAGCTTTGTTTTCTGTCAAACCATCCATCTGTCCATCCACCTATCCATCTTCTTATATGATGTAGGGCCATGATGGTAGCAGATTCAACAGGATATTCCTTTTCTTGGCAACATTTTTAGTTCCTCTTGGGGGATACTGTGGTGTTAACAGGCAAGATGAGATACACAATCTCTCCAGCGAGTTCTGGGTCTCCCCTGGGGTCTCCTCACAATTGGACATACTCAGAAAGACACCGCTAAGGGAGGCACCCAAGAGGCATTGTGGTCAGATGCACAAACCACCTCAGCTGGCTCCTTTTGACACAAAGGAGCAGCGGCTCCATGCTGACCTCCCTCTGGATGGCTGAGTTCTTTACCCTGTCTCTAAGGCTGCACCCAGCTAGATCATAAGTTCAGCCACCACAAGTGTTACAGATCTGAAAACTGAAAAGTGATACTTGGGGAACAAATCCTTCAGATCCCTGTTTGAAGTGCAATGATTGGCTAATTATATTATAAAAAGGAAATGAGTCTGAGAAGTGAAACCAATGCAGAAATCCTTAAACCTGCATTGTTTTTAGTGACCTGCAGATGAGGACTCCCTCTTTTTCCAAAAAGAAAGCAGTTAAGAAATCTATGGAGAAATTACTTTGATGCTCATTGGAAACTCCAAGCTTTGTGGAGGTTTTTAAAGTTTTTCCATGGACACTGGTTGCGTTTTCATTCATTTTCAGCCTAGTCAGTTCCCAAGGAACTGTTAGCTGAAAGTCTTGGCATGTTGTGCAGCTTGTCCTTAAAAAATCTGAGGAAAAGTAAATGACAAAAGAAGTAGCAAGCTTAAAACTTATCTATAGCAGATTTACAGTATCTGAGAGCCATATCCTAAAGAAGAAGGAAAAATTCCAGCAAAGAACTGACCCAAGAATTCAGAGATACTGTACATGTGGCTCTTTAATTGATCCATTTGCTGTTCACTGAAGCCTCATCAGAAATGGTCGTAGTGGAAGGGTAGCTGTTAAGAAGCCTTTCTTATGGAAGGCTAAACATGAAGATTCAGATCTTATGTTCAATTTGTTATAAATATGTGAAGTGGAGGTTAAGAAAGAGGTAAAATAATAATAATAATAATAATAATAATAATAATAATGGATTGCAAAACAAAGTGCACTATCAGTCATGGACTGGACTCCACAGATAGTTGACGTCAACATTACTGAAGCAGTGTGGGATCATCTTAAGAGAAAATGAAACAAAAGGCAGACAAGATCCAAAGAAGAGCTTTGAATGTCCTTCAAGAGGCCTTGAGAACTATCCTGAAGACTCCTTAAAGAAATTACAAGAAAGCTTTCCTAAGAGAGTTCAGTGTCAAAGAAAAGAGGTGGTCGCAAACTATAAAGAAATAATGAGTGACTCAAGGTTTTTGCAGAGTACTGTTCTGTTCACGATTTGATTTGTAAATTATGGCCCCGTGCAGAGCAAAGCAAATGCTAAACCTTTGTATGACATGGCCAGACATTTGTGAAGCAGACAGATTCTAATTTCAAGGATTCAGCAAGGTGCCAGCAATGTTCAAAGCGAAATTCAGCCCACGAGCATATATAGAGAGCAACAGATAGACTGTGGTTGTGACAGAATGTCTGTTCTTCAAGAAAATATCGAGGTAAACACATTGAAAATACCATTAAAACCTCCTTCACCTGCTTCGTATTTAAGGAAGCCAGATCAACATTTTCATTATGTCAACTCCAAAATACTCTTCCTGCCATCAGTTTAAGACGTGCAAGGCTTAAGCATTTATTAGAAGAAGTGACATGGAGAGAAAACCTGTTATTTTACAACAAACAGTCCATCTCTTTTAACAGCCTGTTGTTATTTCGGCTCCAAATCAGATTTCAAACAGTTGAAGAACAATATGACAGGATGACTGGAGCACATTCCTGCTAGAATAAGGGTCAGCAGAAAAGTGCGTGCTATTAGCCTTAGCACACTGACACACACATCCAAATACACACAATTAAAAATACAGATTTGTAATCAAAGAGCGACCAGACAGATCAATAACCCCTGAGACTGAGGTCAGTGTTAGAGCGGTTTCAAAGGCAAAAAACAGTAGCAAGAATTAAGGGCACATTTAAACACACACTCAGGCACCCACACACATATTGTTCTGCTGAAAATTCAATGCGTGCCAGATAAAGACTTGCACAGAAATTACTATCTGAATCAAAACTCTTATGCCAAAGGCACATGTTTTCATTTGTGATTTTAATTAATGTTTGAAAAACAATAAATGCAGACACTGACTCAGGCAGGCAGATCAGAATACAAATTTTAAAACAATAATAATTTTTTAGGATGTTTGTCTTTCATTTCCCTTAAATCTTAATTTGCTGCCTTTTAGGGCATAATAATTTGTCATTGTGATCATAGTTTAGAAAAAAGTCAACAAACTGTGTTTTAGTTAGGGGAAATTACAGCCTAGGATAAATGTATTCCTTTGCTATATGCAGTGAATCATTTTCTTGCTGCTTGCCCAGCTCAGCATCACAGTGACAACAGCACCTGATGACCACCCTTCCCAGGGGTGCAAACCACTTCAACTGGCTCCTATTGAGTGTGGAGAGGCAGTAACTCAACGTCAGGATCTTCCTGGATCACTGCGCTTCTTGTTCACAGGCAGACACAGGCTTCCCTGCAGAGAAACCTCATTTCAGCCACTTTTATCCCCACGCTTTGTCTTTGTCACTCACTACCCAGAGTTCACAACCACAGGTGGGGGACAGAGTGGATATCGACCTTTAAACTGAGCAACTCTTCACCCCTGGTTTACCAAACTTCATCTCTTTGTTTAAAGCTGCGAAAGTTGCAAAGCTCTTGCCTCTTTTGTTTTTTTTAGGCATTCGGGTAACCTAAAATTAGTTTTTGCTGCAAAAGCGGCCTCTGTGAACAGACTGTTTTATGTCTCTGTACTGTTTTTTAAAAGCTGCCTGTGGTTAACAGGTGGAAAACCACACACACGCACAAAGAAACCCAAAACAAAACATACACATAATCAGTCCTGGTAGCCCAGATCATCTCTACCCGAAAGGGTTAACCTCTTAATTCACTTTCAATCAGGGGCACAGATTATCTGGCCTAACTCTGCTGGAGTGGACTCAATCTTGGGCCAAAGAGCGAAGTAGAGCGGGGATTTCTCCCAGGAGGAATCAATCACTTTGCCAAGCTCCTCAGAGCTAGCCTTCACTTGGACTCAGCTGCTGCACTCAGTCCCCTCTTCTTGTCCAATCTCATTCTGGATGTGGCAGCAGGTCATAAATACACAGACCAAAATCACTGACCTGACTAGAGGAATGTCATTGGTTTGGTCAGTGAGTATGAATTTGGGGAATTTCAGGTGAAGAGGCTGTAAATCCTCGCAAATAGTCAAAACAAGAGCAGATGTCAGAGGGTCAGCGTCTCTCTGCCAAATCTTATTCATGTAATTTCAACAATGCAAGCAGAGCTGCATTCAGGTCAGTGGGATTCTGCATTTGCGTGTGTGCATGTGTGTGCGCGTGTGTGCATGTGTGCATGTTTGTGTTTGTAAATGCTGCCTGATATCTGAGAAGAGCACTGGGAATGACACACAGCCACAGGGTAACAGTGTGCCCTATGGATTAATATGCACATCTTAATATTTCTCTCCACTTGCTTGCATCCTGCAGCAGATTACTACGCTGTTGTTATGACGACAGCACAATATCACTAAATCGTGGGATTAGAAAGAAATTTGTCTTGCATTTCAAAGAAAATCATTAATCAGACCACAGGCTGGAAACACAAACCTCAGTGCAATGGCTTTACTATTGACTGATGCAAAGTGTTCTGATAAAAATAAACAGTTTTACTCCACCAAGTGATGTGCATTTAAAAAAAAAACAACAAAAAAACAGCAGGGGAAAAAGTCTGTAAAGTCAGCTGTGAGTTTCTATGTGTTGCAGAGCTCTATTTATATTAAATTCACTTTTAGCCAATGGGGCCTTTTAGATTTTAGTTATTTGTCTTTCTGCTCCATTTATTAGATGCATTATTTATGAAGTCAAGTAACCAGAGAACCCTGTTGACATGTTGCGATATGAAAATCAGTGAATCATTTACCAATTACTTTCTTGTTTATGGAAGAGTGCGCCCCGTACGTCCTCCACTAACTGATAAGTTGACATAGACAAGATACAACATGTCAGTAATTTGTGAAGCCGGTGAATGTGGCTCGCAAGACAAGTCCTGCTGGCGCTCAAGCATTTAACTGCAAGGCATTGATGGTGAGGCCCATTAGTGCCTTAAGTAACAGTTTAAATGCATGGAGCTAATCCTTCATGAATACGCTTCAATATACCGTACAACCTGATGATTCCAGTTGGTTCCAGTGTCTTTTCATGCTTCGCATGTTTCATTGCAACAATGAATTTTTATGTATTTCAACCTAAACTATTTTCCCTACCATCCTCAGCAAGACTGGAGAGTAATTACAGTGTTTTCCTTTCTCCGTTTCATTTCCTAAATGCCACTTTAAGCACAACAAGAAGGGAGCTGGAAAGGCGTTGCTGTTTAATTTTCATAAAAGGGATCCAGATCATCAAAACTGCATGGGTTCGTCCACTTCCCTGCCTGTTTTTAATAAACTTTGTGACACCTAAACAAACAGAACTAAAAACATGCAATGCCTATTCAGCTCTCTCCTTGGCTGCAGGAATAATGAAAATCATAAAAAGGTTGTTACTCTCTGAGTCTGCATACCTTGAATATTTAAGTCTAAGGCTTTTAACTTCATAAATAAGTAAACTAAAATATCATTTTTTGTAAATTTCTTCACTTTACTTACCTTCAGCAACTCAGACATCTGCAGTCACGACTTACAGTATCAGAACTATACTAATGGATTTGAGAATCAAAAGAGACTCATCGCGGTTTTTTTGTAGGGACTTTTAGATCATGAGGGCTGTAAGAAACTTTAGAATATAGTCAACCCACATGATCTTTGTGAATTTAATACTGTTGAATAGATCAGTAAGTAATATGTGCAAGAGCTGACTTTAAAAACTAAAAATGCTTTCAGTCTGGCGAGAAGTCATTACTCAAGACCAAATAGCTCAACAGACAAGAATAGCATAACATAGAATATCTCTCACCTCAGTGTGAAACTTTCCAAGGTGGACGTACTAGCAAGAAAGACATAGAACGTTGCGACATCACCAGACTTGAGGGGCTTTGAAGAAGTCTGGATCACCACAGCGCCTCCCAGTCTCAGCCGAAGAAAGGTGGGATTCCCTGGTGGACTTTTGAGCAGGCTGACACTTCCTACCCTCCTCATTGGTGTCCCTGATCCACCAGTGTCTCTGCCTCGTCCCACTCCTATTCGTTGCAGGCTATCCTGTGGGGTGCACTGGCCAGTCTGGTCCCGCCGACTCTGGAAGTAGACTTCCACAAGGTTCCCCTGAAGTCCCTTAATCCCGTCAGTGCTTTCTGCTTCCCTGCTAGAGCTTCCTGATCTACTGGCTGAGCTGAACCAGGAGGGTTCTGGCTTAAGCTGTGCCACACAAAAGCCGCCAGGAGACACCAGACAAGCCCCACGAACCTCTTTCGTCTCCCAGAAGGCATAAGCCGTGACACAGTGAGCTCCATCCTTAGCCTTAGCTCCATCATTTTTCCTCCCATTATCTTCTAGAGAGCCCATTGTTTCTTGCCAAGCAGTGATATTGCTTTCTGTGGGCATGTGGAAAAGAATCTTAACAACTGGGGATGAGGAACGAACCTGGCGGCTCAAAATGACTGGCAGTATCTTGCGCCCACTGAGGAGCAAATCTAAAGGAATAGAGGCATCTAGAGTCAGGGGGCCAAATGAAGCATTGACAGATGGCTGGAGAAGCCCAGCACCAGGTCCAGTGATGAGAAAAGTCTGAGTCTGAGCTTTCAGGCTAGAGTTCCCAGATGGCTGTGGACTGTCCTGTCTCACAAACACGTGGTCCACATTGAGGACCTGAAACTTGATGGTGGGATAAACTGGAGATGGAGTGGTGAATGTCCCAGTGTCTTTAGCCACTCTTGGAATCTCAGCACCTGTGAAATGATGAGTTTGGGGAATTAGGACTTTAGAGATATTAGGTAGAAATTTTCCTTATATATGCTTTAACTCCAAGGTTCAGTTTTAGGTTTCAAATCTACCGACAAGCACAGTTACTGCTCACAAAGCTAGTTTGCTACTGTAACTGCAAACAGGATGACAGGAGGATGAAGGGTTGAAAAGAGATCAGAGTTGGAGAAGCAAAGCAAAGGGTCGATGCCATGAGGTTCAGGTAGGCGCCAAAAGGACAGAGTCAGGATCACGACACTGATGATGACAGTTGGCTGTCTTGGCGAACAAGACTCAAGACAATTAAATGACTTCATTTAGCAAACATGGTTTATTTCTGAATATAGTTCCTGCATCAAAAAGAGAAAAGAAAAAAAAACAGCCTTTTAGTTTTCTTTCACTGAATTTTCGTTCTCCCTTACTTTTCCTGAATACACGATTCACGTTTCCTAAAGCAAAACACTGTGCGGCTTGAAAAATGAAAAGACAAACAGGGTAATTCTTATTGCATATCATACGACCAGATGGTAACAATTCCAGTAGGCATACAAGTTGCTGATTAAATTTTCAGCCAGATTAACCATGGCATGTGGCTTTATTACAGAGAATTATACACATCACTATAACATTCAAGCTCTAAAACACGAGGAAATTAGGCCTGCGTCATTTCTGTCCTGCAACGGATATTCTATTCTCTGCTATTCACTACATCTATCCGAGCCAATAAAGGAAATGTGGCATCCGAGTGCTAAAAAGCCTGTCTGGTAACTTCTGTGGGATGACTGTTTGTCCAGATAGAATGCCGTATATGACAGATCACTCTTCCCGCTGCCAGAGACACTTGGTAATTTGCCCTCCTCCATGCTGAAGTGCTCAAAGATTAATATGAATTTTTGAATATGACTTTCCCTTACCTCACAAAAAATAAACTTTTAGAAAAGAAAATATTCCTCTCCTTCAGACGCATTAGAAGTGGTATATTATTGTTTTCTGATTCCAAACCATATTTCATGAATAAATTTATATTTAAATTAGATTACTTGCTGAATGGAAAAGAAAATCAGATGTCAGGGTGGATATTAAACAAAGACACACAAGAAAAGTGTCTTATAGATCCCAGAGATCAGACTAATGATGTAAGGAATTTCACATGCAGGCCAATATAAAAGTTTTAGTTCTACATTATTAGTTTGTGTCTGCAGGTTTAAGATAAAACAAAAGGATACCAATGCTCATTTGCCATTTCCAGCTATAATTCTCTCTGTCTGGGACTAATAATTATTTAATTTAGATGACAGTGCACTGTACACTTATAATTCACCGGTAGGGTGTACAATCAATGTTGTTAATCATGTTTGTCTGTGAACAGACATTTGAAGATCTATGAATTGATTTCTTTTTGCATTTGGTGCACACATTTCAGCTAATTAGATTTTGATGCTGATTTACTTCTGAGGTTGCTGAATTAGTACTCAAACTGTTACAACCCGACTGTAGTGCAAAGATTTTATACAATGCAATTAAAAAAAAATCAAACAAAAAAAAAAATCATAAATGTTGGCTTTGGCGGCAGCTGTGTTTGCTCTCCAGTTTAAGAGCCATCTACTTTATTTTACCATCATTATTCTGCTCAAACCAGCACAGGAGAAAAGCTTGAATCTTATCCTTCTTTTTAAATCTAAAAATAGGATAATTGTTCATTATGAAGGGACTTATGCAAAAGACTTGCCCATACTGTCGCAAGATTATAAATGCAGCTTGTTTAAATATCTCTTGTAAAACTTAATGCAATTAATGGAAGCATAAAACATAAAGACAGAAATAATCCACAGTATTTCTTAGCTGTAGCCTCAGAATTATCCCACTGCTCATGAAAACTGCTGCTTAACAGAATAATGTATTGATCAGAAAGTAATCTGGTCTGACCTGGCAGGATCCCTTTAAGTATATAAACCAGAGATATTACAGAAAAAATTAAACATATGGCAATTTTGAACAACTGTTATAAATGGCAGTTCTAACTCAGAGAGGCTCACAGACACATTAGACAGTAGACTGTGACTGGACTAAAAGATAAGGCTGTCATGCATATTCATGGTGATCAAGCAGGGAAGATATCAAAGGCTGAACCCTATCACTTAGACACGCAGTCAGAACACAGCCGAGTTTCACAGTTGCAGACATGCAGCAGTCACACATGCATGTGTGATGGAAAAAAATGCACCCACAGATAGCAGGGGTAGATATAAACCCAGGCAATCTCAGACAGTAGTCTTTCGCATACTGTCGGTATCACAGAGGGACAGACTGCTTTCTGTGGCTCCCAATGCAGGTTATCTTTAAACAACCAGAGAAACAGCTGTGCAACCTCAGCTTCAGGCCTCTTTAATCCCACAGATGAGGTTTCCTGATGCACACTGGAGAGCATGCTGTCACTTTCATTTAGACTGAGGGATAACAGAATGGGCTTAGGCCATGGATGGTAACCACAAAACTACAAAAATATGAAACACAACTTTATATCTTTATGAGCCAGTCAAATACAAAAAGTAGTCATGACAACTCCATAGCAATTTTGGGGCCTGCTTAAATTTTGTGCTGATAAAAGCCAAAAGGAAACAAAAGTATATTGGATGTGCGTAATAAACTACGGCAGAGTGATTTAATATGCTCAGTGTATATGTGCTTGCACTATCAAAGTATATACAAGAGTATAAAATAGCTACACATTTTATCTTCATTACTCATCTCTTGTAAACACAGCTGAAGCCTCTGAGCTAGTTCCAACCCAGTTGTTTTCATATTTAAAGCTTTCCATTTACGCGTTATTTGCGTCTCATCCAGCAGACCATAAACACTTCAAACCAATGCATTAATAAAAGCTGAAACTGATCATCGTCCATCAAAAGCAATCATAAATCTCACCTTCAAAAGCTGTTAGAACTGCCATCGCGACAACCGGAAACAGAAAACGAAGGGGAAACATCATTTTAGTGAATTTGCAGGTTTTGGTCTCCAGTACGCAAGTACGGTAAGTTTTGGTGACTGCACGCACACTGTAGGAAAACAGCGCTGGAAACAAAGCATTACATTGCCGAGTGTCTTGGTTCCTCTGAATGTAGAGGCTCAACTAGGAAAAAAAATAGTTTTAAATGTACTTCCCTGTCCTCTAAGTGATGACAGTTTTTCCCCTCCTCCGACATCAGTGCTCTAGCTGGCACTGTGGGACAGCATCAGACACGGCTCTTACCATGATAGAAATCAGTAAACATGTGCCGCGGGGCAGATTAACTAGACCCACGTGGGTATAATCGGAAGGGCCGCAGGCAAATTAAATGCATACAAGGTCGGGGATCAGTGATTTCTACGTGCGCATTTTAGTTTTGATTTAACAAATTAAGGATGGATAGAGACCTTCTTGACTTGAGCATATAATAATCATAGATTTCTACAACTCACTTGTGGATTGGGGGGGGGGAGTAACTGAGTAAATGAATTTTTCTTTTTTCGTACATGTGCACAGTACTTTCAGACGGCCTTTAAGGGTGGCATTGCTTGACATTTGGTCTTGAGTGGAGAAAAGAAAACTGTAGGGCGTTTTTTGCCAGCTGTCAGCTTTATGTTCTCACTCATAGACAGCGTTACACATTACTTGGAGCGTAGGAAGGAGCAGATGGATACAGTCACAAACGCTTCGTGATGTCACAGCACACATACACTTGGTACAAAGCATCAGCAGTCACTCAAATTAACTCTAGTTTTTTAGGCCCATAAGTCCCTGTTAAAAAAACATATCGTTTATTTTTTACAATTTGAGATCTCTATGTGGAGCTACATGCTAAAATATTTTTGCAGGGTTTTTGTTTTTGTTTTTTTTTACATATTAGAGATTAGTGAGTTTAGACTCTTAAGTTAAGCTTAGATGTATTTTTCTGTGCTACTGCAGGCCCTCGGGCCATATTTAATTTCTTAACACTCAAAATCACAGAGGTAATTTTGTAACTCTTTTTGTCTCTCTTTTCTTTTCTCTTTTTTTAAGTATATCACTAGATCTCCCTTGACCTAAAATTTTATAATGAGATAGGCTGAACAGTTCAAAGGCTAAACTGAAATAGCACGGTGTCTTCTTGCCATAGTATGTGTCGTGTAGCCAAAGCAAGGCCAGGGGGAAGATTGCATTTAGAAACTATGGAATCCACCTGCTGTTCTTTTGCCCACAGGCATCACACTAAGTGCTGGCATCAGTTTTGTGGTAAAGAATACCAGGGTTTAATGAGCTTGGTCAGACTTTTCTTCACTAGTTCACTCTCTAACACCGTCTTAAATACCCGTTCTCTAAAGCAATTACTGGCGCAGTATGTCAGATAAACTCACTGCACTCAATACCCTAGTGCATGTTTTATTACGAGGTGGCACCTGTGCCAGGGTGACAGCATAAAGCATGCAGGTGTCACTGGTGAATAAATAGTTTCCCACTTTACAGCAGAGGCTGATTAACTACATGTTATTAAATATGCGCCTCAGAGAAACACTTAAGGATCTGAAACAGTCTGCATTGTATAAATAGTTGAATCTGATTTTGCCCGGTGTTCCCCTCCAATGCATTTTAAAGTCAGCGAGTTTCTATTCGAGCAGTTTTGTTTTGTTGTTTTTGGCTGGATGGGATTGCCAACACTGACACTGCAGATTATTTAGTCAGGTAACATCTCCAGATCTCAGTTGTTTTTCCAGACATGCGACCTGCTGCTAGTGCCATTAGAGATGACAGAGATGTGGCTGGAGTCACCATCTGTGACTGCAGTACTGGATATAGAGCTGCTGCTACCAGGTGGCGCAAAGGTTTTTAGAGGTCATTTGATGTGAAGCAGCGGTCAGGACACTAATCCATTTAATAATTTATTACATTTCTTTTTAAATGGAAGACTGCGCCTCACCGAGCTGTTGAAACAGATAAATAGCAGAAGAAATTACATCCAGTGTTTTATCTACACTTGCTGGCAATGTCTGGCAAGTTATTACATGTATGTTGTCTTTGTAGTAATTGGTAAGTGTTTGCCTTGCAATTGTTGTAAACATACATGCTAAAAAAAATTATCTGTTAAGCATATTAGGATCTCTTGCAAATTATAAATGACACTGGTTTTAAAACATACTCAGCTCTTGTCTGATGTTTCAAGCATGCAAAATAATTCCTTTTGCATTAATAATTAATTATACATAAATAATTATATTTGTTATGTGCATTCCATCTGTTGTTAGCTTCAGTGCCTGCTTTTCCAGATCTGTCACACTAACTCATCTATAACTCATCTCTTCATAGATGTGACACTTCAAAAGTTTATTAATCTTAAATCTCTCATTTTTATGAGAAAGATGCTGGCAATAAAAGCTGAAGCCTGCACTAAGTTTTCTTCCTCCTCAAGTGCTGACAAAGGTCCTGGGGTCCTCTCTCTAGCAAAAAGTTTTAAAACAGCCAGAGTCGACCAAAGAACTAAATGTAGACATTAATAGACAGGCAAGCTCAAAGAAATACAAAGAACAAGGCAGAGCACTTTAAAAGCTAAAATGTTAAGACCACTAAGAACAGCCTAAGGCCATTGAAAACATTTATGTCTTAAGATTTCTCTTAAAAGTGTCAGTGAACGCAGTAGTGCCACAGATAACTGAAACAATCTTTTAAAAGTGGATAAAAGTGCCAAAATTTGCATGTTTGTCCCTCTGGAGCTATTAAATTGAAAACTCCCATTAGTCACTTGAAATCTGGCCATCATGCAGCATGGGGTCCGTGCTGTTTTTTCCTACAAAATTTCAACCAACTGGATGCATTTAGAAGGTTTTACTCTTGATTTATATGCTTTTCACTATAAATAAGTAAACGTCTTCAGAGATTCTTTGTTTCACGTAAAACAAAATAACTGCAATGACAACATTTGTTATGTGGTTTTTCCATTGGTCCAGTGATAGCTTTAGCTGCATGATGCTATGCAGGTCAAGGGATTGACCTTTTACCCCTTTTTACCTCTTTTACCACTATGATATATACAACCATGACATTTAACATTCACTGGGTGCCAATTTCTTTCCAGTGAGATTCAATGAATCTTATGTATTCAGTGCATGAAGACTCCTTTATCCTTGACTCAGCTCTGAGGTGGCCAACAATGTCTTTGGACAGGTTCAAACCCACAACCGTCTTGTTTTAACAACTAATGACCACTGTTCTGGCAGGCTATCTCCCATAACTTCACTCTCAAGTTTGTGAGGTTAGTTAGTGTTCTGCCCTTTTCCTAGTTTAGTCCTGCAGTCCATTATGGACTGCAGTTTATCTAACACCTTTTTACTTTCACCTAACATTCAGTATTTTTCACTGTAAGCTGCATCCACAGATACATTGTTAACATTCACACACACATGCAGAGATGGATGCATCAGATGATACTTGGGGTTGAGTACTTTGCCCGAGGATATTTCAGCATAAGTTTGCAAGAGCTGGGCAGTGAACAACAGACCTTACTAAATAACAGACAACTGTACATCATAAAGAACAATATTTTCTATGACCGTGATTGAGACATGAGTTACCAGTGAGGACTATAAAGGCCCATAGACCCCACTCCCCTGTTTGCAAACTGGTAAAAAGTAATTTCAGACTTTTAAAGTCAACTTCTACATGGTTGAGTATGCATGATATGACACTAAGACAAGAAACAAAAGTGGCGGGACTTCTTTAAGTTTCTTGAAGATGTTTCACCTCTTATCTGAGAACCTTCTTCAGTTTTAAAACCAAATGGTGGAGAGTTCCAGGTATTTAAGCCATAAGTGTCCCTTAAGAGGGTTGTTGACCCACTATTGATCATGTGCCTCATTACAGGTGCCAAGGTGTGTAAAAGGTTGTGTGTCTGAAGAAGAAGCTTCTCAGATGACAGGTGAAAAATCTTCAAGAAACTTAAAGAAGTCCAGTTGCTTTTCTTTCCGAGCTCCCTAGTCTACCATGACCTGGATGACTGAGAACCTACACAGACACACAAAGACAAGGCAAGTCTAGTTTACTTTACTTTACTGGGGGAAAAAAAATTATATTTTCTTGCTTTTGTTGACAGTCATCTTTTAAATTGGCCACCAATTTTAGTTTTCAAATTGATAATAAGCTTAATCAAAAAAATATCAAAAACTGTATGCACCACTCATCGCACTTTTATCCACCCGTGAATGATTTCCCTGCAATATTAAGTTATCTGCTGCACTACAGATCATATTGATGTTGAGTCGTACTGATGTTGTATTTGCCAATACAAAAACCATGATCCTCATTACTCACTAACCTGGAACAGTTAAAAGCAGCTGATGAGAGCAGACTACCCGTGTAATGCTTTTTTCTTTTTCAGGTACTAGTTAGAAGACTTGCAACTGCATTGTGCACCAGCTGCAGATGAGACAGTGCAATATCCAGGCATAGTGAAATGCAGTAATCCAGTTATGAGGAGATTAGCATGGTGGTGTTCATGACATTGAAAGAGGGAGAGAATGGATTTTACTTTGGTGTAGTTCCTCAGCTTAAAAAAAGCAATTCAAGCATTCTGTTGATATAGTTGCCAAATTTTAACGTGAAATAACCCTAATCTCCAGTTCTATTCATCATGCATTAAAGAGAGAAAAAGTTTTTTAATTGCCCTTAAGATTAGACTAATAGAAGTGGAGTCATGCAGATTAAATGACATTATTCGTGTGTCATCAGCATACAAATAGAAATACAAATAATAAATACAAATAAGCAGATATTATCTTTGTGGAAAATCGATCCAAAGGGAGTGCAATATTGAAATTGGGCTTTAAAGGAAACCTTTAGGTACACTACAATTGCATGAAGAAAAATCCCCGATCTTTCCAGAACAGACTCTGGCTGTTAACTATGAGGAAAACTGCACAAGGACATTACCTCAAATGGCAACCAGCCACACACTCTCATATACACACATCTAAACTGGCATGTGCGTCTTTCGACTGTGGGAGGAAACCAGAGTACATGGACAGAAGCTGGAGCATGAATATGGAGAACATGAAAACTCCACACAGAAAGACACTGGCTGACTAGGAGGTCTGTTTCCAATACATAAAATATAGAAAAACAAATAATAGGGGTTGCATACAGTTACACGGTTACATACATATTAGATGATCACCAGGTCAATGAAAAGTTCAATTTTCCATCTCATGAGTTCCTTCATACTGCTTCTTATTCATCTTGAGCCAAAAAGTAATAAAGTTTGCTTCCATCGATGTATAAAACAGGGCTCAAATCAACTCAACTCATTTTTAACCTGTTGGGGATTCACCCATATGGCAGGGATCACATGAACAAAACGAATGAATGGAAAAAGCGGCCCAAAAACAACCAAGTCAATTGCAGCCATACGCAATCCCTCTGAGTGGAAATCATTGCAAACTGCTTCTGTATTCTCTGCTAAAATCTCTGGGGAGTACTCAAGTGTAGTCTCTGAACATAGAGCTGTCGTCACACCTGCGTAATAACACTTACAGTAGTCCTATAGCTGGCTAAAGAAAAGCCAGGTTCTTCAACAGTCATTGCACTGGAGCTCCCAGAGCTCTTCAGCCTAGTCATGCACTGTGGATGTCTCCCATTTCAAGCAGTCTTAGCCAAAGATAAATCACCAGGGCAAGGCCTGTATCCTGGCCTCTTCCCTTCACTGACGTCAGCCAACAGCCATCCTCTTATGACAAATGAATGCTCTTTTTGGAGTGTGGCTGCCATGAACATCAGTTTTCAACCCCTGTGGGATGCCTCCATTGAGTTACTGGCCAGGTGATATATCCTCCAACCAGCAACCTTCCCACAGAGTGCTGTGTCGGACAGGTTAGAAGCTTACCTCCAACCACCTGCTGGGAACCCCATTAATGTTGGAGGGGATGGATGGGTGCACGGTTGAACTATTTGTTCAGTGTGATCAAGCTTTTTTGTTGAAAGTTTCTCACCTAAGTTGAAAAGAGACTGCATACAGCTCCAAAAGATAACTTACCATCTGGCTATATTTTGCATTTTCTGGCGCATAAATTCCATTAATACTTGTGCGGGTAGTGTACTTCTGTGGCATGTTAAGCCAGACAAGAAATTATTCCTTTTTTTTTCTCTTGCAAGGCTGGGTTACTGCAGGCAAAGTGAGCAGACGCCTCTAGGGACTAAGAGCTGCAGGTTTACAGTATAGCAATTAGTTTCTGATCATTTGATTAATGTGAATTTGTTTGGTAATTACTTATGCTTCATTAATGGGGCCTTGAGGCAGTTTAAACATTTGTACCTAAGCTTGAATTATTCTGTTCTTTAGATTGTCAAAAACAAAAAGAAAAACTGCTGTGAAAAAGTCTACTTGCACAAGAAATGGGAGAGGAGAGCAGTACATACCTTTTTGCTCTTGTGTTGTTGGGCAGTTTTATTTTATTGTCTTCTGGGCTCTCTAAGTTGGTAAATCATCAAATACATGTGACATATATAATAAAATGTTCTTTTTACAGCACACCTTTAAATATATTCAAGCCAAGAGACTTCAAAAGAAATCCCTGACTCTTCGCATGACAAAAGTTCTGTCAGTACATCAAAGTCACATTAAAATATTTCACCTGGAAGATCCGTGCTGTGATTTGGGGGCAGGAGGGTCAAATGGACGTGGAGTGTTTAACTGGCAGTCGGAGGTTTTGTAAAATATTCAGAAAGGCCAGCAGAAGATGAATGTCTCCTTATGCCCCCCTGTGGTGGGGAGCCAGGCAGGACGAAAGCGAGTGATAGAGAGGTTACAACTGGCAAGAATTTTAAACATCCATTGGCCCAGGGGACTCCGGAGACATACAGCTCAATATAGATCAGTTGGATAGCGAGGAAAAAATAAGAGCAAGAGCAAGCTGTGGAGAAAGAGCGGAGAAGAGGAGGAGGTGGTGGATGGAGGGGAGGGGAAGTAAAGGAAGGGGGCCATGTGAGAGAGGTAGGTAAGGGGAAGAACAGGAAAAGGCAAATATATTGGAAGCAAGAAAACAAGGATTCATTGATATACAAATTCAATCTCCTCTCTTTCTTGCCTCCCTGAGAACAGAATGAGCATTTCAGAAAAACTCTTGTGAAAGACTGCAGTATTTTCCAACCGAGCTGCTCAGTCTTTAAAGTTTTGGGGGGGATTTTCCCTTGTTTGAGTCAATATTCAGTTTAAGCAAATGATGAAATATCTATGCATGTGTAAGACGTTGCTAGAGGCAGGGAGGAAAAGGGCTGAAGGACTTTTCCTCAAGTTCAGCCATTTGAGATTTTTGTGGTATAAAGCTTCTCTGTGACACCCAATTAAAAGCATTCCTGAGATCTACTGGTTTGTTAGTGCATGTATGATATAACTCATTACTTAACTACACTCTACATGTACTATCAGCATCCAACTAAAAATCACTGCTGCCCCCCTGAGGATTGTTGTGTAACAGCACGACAGCAGCTGTACAAACCCCTAATAGGAGCAGAATGGAGGAAATAAAAGGTAAATATTAGTCTGTTGTTTATGCATTTTCGATTTAAAATGTACCTAAGACTATTCTTGTCACCTTCAAATTCTTTTCCCTCTGGCTCCTATATTTTTGGGGAGCACGGTGATATTGATACATTTGCATGTGTTTCTGAGAAAGGGGAGAGCAGGGGTGTCCCTTTGTAACTGGGATGAGACAAAAGCACGTGGTCATGTTTGAGCAAACAATTTCTCTATAGCTATAAACAATGATACAGGCATAATAATTAGTTTCCATTCCCTAAATGTTAACTTTAGTTAGCCATTTCTCTAAAGTATTGTTCCTTGTTGAAGACTTTCCTCACTTATCTTTACTGAATCAGAAACTTTGACAACACTGCAATTCAAATTCAAAGACTCATTTGCCGAAGCTCACAGAGATGAACCTTTTTCACTTCAATTCCATTAAAGTGAAAATTAATGCAGAGTCAGTAATAACCCAGGCCATCTGTTGTAGCCACTTCACTTCTGAATAGTACTTAATAGTACTTCAGTTATTTCCTGCAGACTCTATATTGCAGTTAATGTATGCATTAGTGTTTTTTAAGTAAAGCGTTTAATGTTAACAGTCAGTTCTACAATTATAAGTGATCCACTGTGACTGTCCTTCATAAAAAATTTTTTAAAAAATCATTGTTACCTACTCTTGTGATTTATTGCACCATCTAGTGGCAAATGGTAATTCTGGCCGTCTATTTATAATTGGAAATGTGGCAACAAAGACCCTCTATTTCAACCAAAACCTTTCCCTGTATGTGTGAGACTCGAATGAATGACCATAATTTGTATGGTCATTCAGAGCAAATAATTTCTTGGAACTGCCAACTAGGTCTATGTGACTTTATATTGTCATGTCCCTTCAGCTTTTGGTCACTTATGTAAACTAAAACGATTTTGTTTTGTTTTGTTTTTTAATCACAGTATATTCTGCAAAAACTATGCAAGCATGTATGCACGAGCTAATATTCTGTCACTGTCATCCTGTTTTTGTCATCCGTTAATAAGGATGAAGCATCAAAGAGAATTTTCCAAAGCTGATTTGGGGATTTTCTATCAAAACAACAACCTGTTGTTGCTGATTACTCCCTGGGTCACTGTTAAATCTAACCAGCGGTTCATGCTCTTTTAAGGAACCTAGTTACCAACACATGGTGCACACTTTGGTGGAAACCTCTCCAAAGTTTGATTATTTTGTTTGCAGAGCAAAGCAATTTTAAAGAGAGTGATAAAGCATTATATTTGCTTTAAAGGCACACTTCAGGATTTTTGTGGAGTAGTCGATGAGCGGCTTTGCTCTGTGGGTTCATAATCAGCCAAAAGAGTAATTGTGGATTATGATGGTTTACATTTGTAGACTTGGTGATGATGTGTGATGAAGCTGAACATGTGGAGGTTTTCTTTCATGATAAATCTCCAGATGCCAACATATCTAAATTAATTTCAGTGTATTTGTATATTTTTTTTGTATTTGTGGGACAGAATTTTAGAGAAGCAAATCAGATTCATTAGTACAGAAAATAAGAAAATATAATTAGAAATGTTCATTCAGAAAATAGAAATAACATTCATGTGTATTGTGATGTACTTACTGTAGTCATTACTATAGAGTCGCCTAAGAATTATTATTGTTTGCTATATTAACAAGGAACTACTGCAAATCTAACCTGCCATGTAAAGAAAAACACATGACACGAGTTTTTAAAAAATATCAAATTTAATTTGGTTATAAAAGTTGTATTTTTCACATGCACACCCACACATAGTTAATCACCATAAATACTGTCCAGTGATTTCTTTTTCTTCTTCTTTTTTGTTGATTTGTTGATTTGTTGTTTTTGTTTTATCTTGATTCACAAAGCAAGCACATACGGTGGGCTTATACATGTGATTTCAAAGGACACTATGGAGAATGCTTGCAGTTTTTTTTGTTTGTTTTTTTACAATGAGAGGAAATCTCAGTGCACTGAAAAAAAAGGCTGTCGTAAAATCAAGTAGAAACATTTACAAATTATCTACAAATGAATCGAAGTACAAAAGAGCTACAGCGTTTCGAAACACTACGCCCATTCACAAGTGAATGATTTGGTATTGGAACACCATACAATTTCAACATTGTGAAAGACTGAAAGTGAAACTATACATAAACAGCTTTGGAAAATAATGAAATGTAAACTGATTGCCAGCCTAAATTCCACTTTGGCTAACCTCTCATGTCTTTGCATGCCCTCAGCAATATTCACGAATGAAGGAACCCTGTGCCACAAAACAAACCCACATCCGGCTCATCTGTTAGATGCAACTTCACATAAGGAACACGGAAGATGATTAGGATATAATAAATGTTTATAACTAAATATAATAATAGAAACTTTTTTTTCCTTTTTTTTAAAGCTATGCCAGGTAGTAATTATGTTTGTGAGCTCCAGTAATCCTCTCCAAAGCACACAGAATGCTTATAGATGAAGTGGGGTTTTTCTTTCAATAATTCAAGTTCATTTTTAAGACTTTATTTCAATAATGTTGTCAAATTAACACACGTCTGTCACCTTGAAAAGTAAAACAGTGGGTTGCCATTTAAAGCTAGTCAATTTCTGGGGGATGGATCTCATTACAGCAGCCAGTTTGAGCATAAGAAATATATGGAAACGCTTAAATGTTTAAAAGACAAAACCCAGAAAAAATGGTCTCGCCCATAAAAAGTCAAATAAATTTGTGTTTGCAAGCACAAGATGTGTTTTCTTCCTTTTTTTCCTTCATTGCAACAGTTTCATTTTGAATTTGTTCAGCTTGCTAAGCTACATTTTCCCCATCAAAGAGGATATCCACACCACCAAAGGATATAATTTAAACCCAGGAAGCCACTTTCAAACTACTAAAAAGAGAAGAGAAAGAAAATGAACTGTCTGGCATTCAGTTTCACCAATAACACACAAAACTCAGCTTCTGATTCTATTATATTTTTCTCCCTCTGTGAAGCCTGGTCTGTTGTTTGTGCAGCATTAACACTAAGAATTCATTGAATAAGAAACTGACTAATTAGACAGTCGGCTCAACAATCTGCAGGATATTAAGCTTCTGCTGATCTGATCATACTTTAATGGTGGCAATCTTTCAGTGGCATTGTGCAACTAAATTTGCTTTTGAGGACTTGATTAAACATATTAAACATTCAGAGAGTCAACAAACAAACGAAAAAACAATAAAATCTTGACTGTGTTAAGTGGAATCACTTCATACTTGTTTTTTATATAATTTAATATCATGGGAATAAAGTAAAAATCTATTATGTACCATATCCTCTTATATAATAGCTGCATATTAGCTAACATATTGATTCAGCACAGTATAGTTCTTTATATAATGAAAGTACAGGTCATGATACAAAATGTGAACTTAAGTTCATATTTCTCTCCACAGACAGCAGGTAGATGTAACAAAACCAGAGAACAATGCACATCTTAACATTTTGATTTCCAGTTTTTATGAGGCTTTATGAACATGGCCCTCACTGGTTTCAAAAGAAAGTGCATCACCCAAACCTTAATCAGAAATGTTGGCATTTTGTGGCATCTACAGTTGCCTGAAAAACAAAAATCTGTAAACTTGAGTCATAATTTGTGTTTGAACACAAGTTAATCAACTACAGCGATGGGCTGCTACAGATGAGGGCAAAACTATTGCCTCCCTTATAAAATGTAAAGTTTCTGTCAAAATGTTCCCAAGTTGTTTTTTAACAGAGCAAGAGATTTTCAACATACTGTTTCTAAACATACTAGTTTTCTTAAGAAAGCATACATTATTTCTATTTGCCCACAATAACAGAATTATTTCAGAAAACAGAAATGACCAGGGTGGATATTATTTGCAAGCTTAAAATAACGTATCTTCTTCTTATTGACTTATTGGAAGGGTTGTCTTCCAATTTACTCATTGTATGAAAACTTCAGCAAAATTTCGAGCTGTCACTTGAAAAAGCATCACGCTAAAACCAAAAAATCAGTTTAGACTCAAGAAAAAGAATCGTTGATGCTCACGAAGCAGGAGATGGATATACGAAGTTATCACAGCGTTTCCAAGTGTCAAGAATTGGACCGAGAAATTCAAAGACCGACAAAACAAAGAAACACAGCAGAGATACTGAAGGAAGTGAAAGATTTTAAAAACCCTGGAAAGAAAAACAGTGAGAGGTGCATCTAAAGACCACAGTGAATGACTTAGCCAAGTCAAAGAAGCCAGTCACTAGAACTCTGCACAGGGATGAACTGCGATGTTGCAAACCAAGAAAAACTCCACTTCATTGCAAAAGACATCTTCAAACAAGACTGAACTATGCATAGGACAAGGTGAACAACTCAAAGAAGACTGTTCCCATGGTGAAACACAGTGGTGGGAGTACTATGCTGTGGGGATGCTTCAATGTGTCTGGAGATGGGAATCTCATCATCGAGACTTTGAACAAAACCTCAAGCATTCAACAGCAACACTGGGTCTGAGTCGTTCCTTGGTCTTCCAACAGGACAATAACCCAAAACATACATCACTCCTGGTGAAGAACCCCCTCCTGAAGACCAAAGTGAAAGTTATTGACTGGCCTGTCAAAGCCTTGACTTGAACCCCCCTGAAAATCTATTGTGAGATCTGGAGGAACTGGAGAGATTTGCCAAAGAAAAAAAGGCTCGTGTTGCACAGGAGACATTTGTGAGACTTGTTGAAAACTACAGCTAAAACTGCAAAAAAGAAATACACCTGACTATTAGCATCAGAGGGGCTAATAATTTTGACCCTGTTAGTTTTTGTGACATAATTTTGTTTCTGTGTGCAAAGTAAATGTAATGTAAGCATACAAAATAAAACCTGGATGTTTGGAAAAGCTGTGTTAAAAATTTCTTGCCATGTTTAACAGCACTTTTTTAAAAAAAATTTTTTTTTAAAAAAGTGGCATCTTTCATAGGAGACTAATAATTCTGTCCTCACCTGTCTATAAGGTTGCAAATGTACATTTTGAAAAGTTTAACTGCACTTGTCTAATAATAACTAGCTTTGCTTTTACTATCAACGATTGTGTTAGCAAGCTAATAATAACATCATTCACATCTGGGTTATAAATGTGACATTTTGTGGCGATCCACTGTCTTTGAACACCAGTGAACATCACGTAAGCTAAACAATGCACAGCCAATGGAGGTAGCAGCACACCACGAGATCACAGGACCAACAATTACATGGCCTCTCCTTCAGAAAAAAAAAGATAAAGCAAGTGAACAGCAAACATGAAAGGTGCAAAATATGAATGCATCACATACATACATGTAGTATACACGCACACACACACACAGGCACACAAAATATATCGTTTACCAGTCGTCCGACAAAACACCCACCTTTTGTGCAATAGGAAGATAAACACAAAATTTCGTCTTGAACTAGGCGTTTCATGACAGTTTGACAGCGATGACAACAAACATTACCGCTCTTTGTTTAATTCTCAAAAATGACAAAGCACAAGCAGCTCGTCATGAAAAAAAACCCTGGAGTTAAGTCAACCTTGCAATCAAACTAGGAATGTCGTGCTCATATTGTTTCATAAAGGCCACTGAGACAGCTAAACTTGCCTGGTGTTTCTGACGTTAATGCCCTGTTGCCAATCAGTTCTTCTCTTGCAAATTCCTTTCATCTCAGAAAAAAAAATCCTCTCTGCTGAATCACAGGTACAAGTGGAAATCTTGTTCCCACATATGCTACCATCTCTCTATGATATTGCACTGAATAAAGGATTTTGTAATATTTTAGCAGCCAGCATTACTTCACACAATGCCTCAATAACAGTGTAGTCTTTTTGAGATTTTCTTGGAGGAGTATGGTGTCTGTTCCCTTGTAGTGACATCAAAACTCCATTTTTTTAAAACATTTTATTATTTTTTTTTATTATTATTTTTGCTGAGAAAAGTCTTTTGGAAAGTTTTATAACCAGATGCTTTGATATCCTGCTTAAAAAATGTAAGAATTACTTTTGCCTAATGATAACAAAAACAGAAGAAATACATGTCATGAAAATCCTAGTTTGCTTTTGTTTTTTTTAATCACCCCCTTGATTTAAAATACATCATAGTTACACGATTTTGTGTCTGCAAGTGACCTCGCTCTTGATTTTGGCACTGCACTGTACATAATCGATTTGTGGCCATCTGTCACCTTTTTTTATATATATATATCACTGCACTGAAATAGGCTCAAGGAGACACAGCTCACATCCTCTCTGTCATGTGTTGTTAGATCAGAGTTGATTGTATGAATGCAATACACCGAGCCCAGCATGAGCACTTACTGTACATTAATTTTCTTTCTGTGTTCTTTTATTTCACAGGGGAGAGTTTCTTCAGGAGTTTCTTTCCCTTGGAAAGCAGTCCTTTCTTCTTCTTGTTTGCCAGATCTTGAGAGTCCCGGGGGTCCACTGGGACGTGAGGACCCCTTGTAGGGCTGAGGGGCCTCATGGTTCCAGGGAGGAGGGGGCGAACAATCGGGGATGGCGCCCGGACGGGTGTGGTGTCATTGTTGACGGCTTCGGTAGTTTCTGTGGTAGCCTGCGAAGAGAAGTGGTGGGGAGGTATGGAGGTATGGGGCAGCATATTACAAATGAACCAACTCTTTCATACTGAAACTCTAAGCCTTTCCCTCTGCGTTTCCTCGGCTAAACGCTGTTTAAAAAAAACACTTCATCTGCTTTAAGTTCGATCAGATTCCTTGAGCAACACAAAGAATGAAAATTAGCTCTCTTTCTAGCCTATTTCAGAAAAACAATTTTGTTTTTTAATAGATTTACAAAAATGTCCCTCACTTTATTCATAATTTTCCGCTATTTTCCTTATGACTTTTTTGTTCAGAGCCAGATTTTCTTATACATTTTTAAAGTGGTCTCAATTGTTAGTTCTTCAGGCTTTCTAAAGCCCTTTTAAAGTTGTTTAGACATTGTTTAGACTTTTTCCACTCATTTACAGTCCAGCCCTTGTACCTGACCATATTAGGTGTTATTTTCTTAAGCCACTTAACACTGACTCGTTAATCTTTCAAGCATAAATAAGACACCGAACTCGAGGGATGAACCAGTTATGAACTTAGCACTGCGACACTTTTTTTTTTTTACTGGTAGCTTGTCACAAAAAATACATAATTTGTTGTTATTTCTTTTGTTGAATCCATTTCAAAAAAAGCAAAAATAACACAGTTGACAGGCATAAAACAATCTCTTTTTTTTCACTGAGAAGGTGATTCCCTTTTGCTTTATAACTGCTGGAATAGACTTCCACTCTCCGCAGCCCTGAATTGAGTGACCAGAAGAAAAGAGATGGAAGGTGATTGTCAAAGAGCTACTAGCCAAAAAAAAAAAAGGCATATCTCATGGAGTGTCCTTAAAGAAATCTGAAGTAAGTGGACAACTGGGGGACAAAAGAAGTGTCAGGCATAAAAAAAACTTTCTACAGCAGAGGAACAGTTTCTTAAATGCATGTCTTTAAGAAAAAATCCACCAGAGACCTGAGAGATTCATCTACTGTTCACTGAAGCCTCATCAGATATCGCCTCAATGGAAGGGCAGCTGTCAAAAAGCCATTCTTAAGAAAGGGAAATGGGGAGTAAAGACTGAGGTATCCCATATTACACAAAAAGAACTGTACTGGAAATCAGAGGAAAAGGGTGTTGTGGTGTGATCCAAATTTGAAATTTATGTTTTAAGATGTTGTCATCAATGTGTACAGGGGAGATCAGGAAAGAGTCGGTGTCGATGACCATCTGTAAAGCAGAGAGGCTGCAACCTTCGAGAACTATTCCTAAAGGTTACTTTGAAAATGACGAGAAAGCTTGGGTAAGAGATTTCAGGCTGTGTTGAAGAATAACGGCAGTCAGACCAAATGTTTAACTTTAAACCTCATTAGAATTATGCAAACTGGTTTCTCCTGTACATAGTTTATTTCCTTTGTTTGCAGATATTTCAGTAAATCACTCCATATCCCATTTTCCTGGCAAAATATAAAGACTTTTGCACAGTACTGTAGTTTACATTTTTGGTGGTTATATCTTAAAGCCCCTGAAAACAAATTTATGAGGAATGAAAAAAATCTTAATTTTGGGTGTTTTGGGTTCGATTATGTTTGATTGACAGCATGTAAATAACTCACTTGATGTGGCATGCTTCAGATTCAAGGATTGTCTTTCACAGATCAAAAGGTAACTAAAAAAATAAATAAAGGTTTCTAGTTCTATATGAAATATTCAGTGTTTATTTTCAGCAACTGATAATATTAACTCTTAATATAAAAGTTTAATATTTTCTATACTATTTTACATTATTATTTCTCTGGAGTAAAAACTGATATTTCAGAGTAAAGCCGTCCGAACCTCTGCCTGTTAATCTGGATAAAACTGATAGTAAAGATGTTTTTACACACGAATACATGACTTCAGATAAAATTTACTTTTCCTTCAGAATTATTTTCACCTTAATCCTAACTGCCATTTAACATAATCCCAACCTAAAAAAAAAAAAAGTAATGATTTGTGTCATTTAGGCTTGCTCTGTGTCCCTATACATAATGCATGTCCTCATTAACTGAGTGCACAAACAGTTTAGGGTCTGCAAAACATTGTGTAATGCCTCGTCCACACTCTCACACACACACAGAAATCAAACTGAGGAAGAAGCCATCAAATGTTGAGCACAACATCAGCACACCACAGAGCTGAAGAAGTCCATCATCAGTAGGCCATGAGGGAGTATACAGTACAGTCAGATACGGTACAACACCCAGGGACACAACTGTAGATACCAGGCTTCCCATCTAATGCAGCAGCTGCTATTTCGGATAAAGATATCGTCCTATAATGAAATCTGAAATCTATTCTAAATTGTAACTATAACACCTACGGATGACAGAAGGGAAGCTACCCACTAATGTGAGTCAAATATTTTAGTGAGTCACTTAACAGAGTGATAAAAATCAAACAAAGAGACAAATCTGCCTGATTCGAATCATGAAACAAGTCAATGACTTGAAAAGTGCCTCCGTAATATTGCATGGCATTTAAACAGCTTCTGCTGCAACAACAAGCTGTGTGCATTAGCGCAGCGGGTCTGGTATCTCAAGTTGCCAACTTACTGTACAAGGCAGACAGAGCCATTTATGGTGTGAAATGAACAATCTTCCTCTGCTTGTTTGTTTTGTTTTGCCAAGCGGGTGAGGAAAAACAAAAAAGAAATCAGATGTGGCGGCACTGTCACTGTCGGTAAAACCCACACCACTATGACAACTGAAAACAACAACACCACCAACAACACACATGAACACAGAGCATGAATGTTTTTAATATCCAATTGCTTTCTTTTTATTGTTCCATTGTAACAACAGTACAGTATGGACGTCTCAGTGCTGCGGTTAGTTTTTTTTTTGTCTCTCGAGCTCAGAGCAAACATGGCATATCCACTGTCACCAGGGCTGAAAAATAGATCTGGTGTGTGTGCAGTATACATAAAGAAACAAAGCCTCTTCAAGGAAATACAGCAGTCGAGCCAAGAAAGTTGCTAGAAAATGTATCAAGTTTGAAAAAGGCATGCTTTTGTCTTTTTGTTCTCAATATAATTTCTTTCAGTGTCATTGGGTAGCAATTGTTATGTGTAAATAAAGCACTTAATATATTTATCTTTAATAATACAATACATAACCACAATTTGATTTTGTGTTTCAGTGCAAAGAGGCCCCAAATTATCTTGTGTAAAGAATGAGCCTTTTTCAAGTCCTCCCTTAACCAGTGTTACATGCATATACCACCTGCAGAGCTCCCACAGTCTATCCTCTCTGTCCATGTCAGGCTTTGCTTCTTCCTTTCTCTGAGACTCAGAAAGGTGTTAACACTGGGTTTTGTCCCCTTTCCCCCCTCCAAAGGGTGAAGGGTGGAGAGGGAGTTGTTAGTCTGTATAGAGTCACCACATGGACAAACACACACAATGAACAGCACACAGACGGCAAGTGGAGGAAGCGAGAGACGAAAATCAAGAGAGGACGGAGGATGTATGGACACAGGGCCTAGCGCTGAGAGCGGCGATGATGATGTACCCGTTTGCTCTCTGAGACAGCGGGGATGGAGTTGGCAGGAGGCCGGTTGGCGGGCTCTTCCTGGGGGTAGTGGGATGGAGTATCAGTCAGATAAACCTCCACGTCATCAGGCACTTCTTCCAGGAAGTTAGAGGGAACCAAACCACGGTGGCCATTGATCTCACCCTGTGGAAAGAAATGAAGAGAGGTGAGAAGGCATAAACTTCACTGGCAGAATACCAACTCATAAGATTATGCTATGTCTGCACAGCTGCCACAGTTAACTGAACATAATGTAATTCATTCTGCGGACCAAACATATCTAATACATTTACATTACATATGTCAGGCCTCCAATTTATCTGAATCACGTCTCTCACATCTTCCTACCCATCTGTTTCAAGTACACTCACCGGCCACTTTGTTAGCTACTCATGCTTAACTGCTTGTCAATGCAAATATCTAACTGGCAGCAACTGAGTTCATTTATGAATGTAGATGTGACCAAGACGATATGCTAAAGTTCAGAGCATCAGAAAGGAGATTTTAGTGACTTTAAATGTGGGATGGTTGCTGAAGCCAGATGGGCTGGTCTGAGTATTTCATAAACTGCTGATTTACGACAACCATCTCTAGAGTTTACAGAGAATGTTCCAACAGAGAGAAAATGTCCAGTGAGAGCCAGTTCTCTGTGAAAAAAAGAAGAAAAAAGCCTTTTTGATGCCAGAGATCAGAGGAAAAATTGCCGGATTGCTTCAAGCAGATAGACATACAATAGTAACTCACATAGCCATTCATTAGAACCAAGGTATACAGTACAACATAAGGTGGTCAGCTTTAAATTTAAATGTATTTTCATGTTTTACAGCTTTTCTTACTGCTTCCTCGCTTGATTTTAAATGAGTCTGATGTTCCTGCAGTAGAGCGCAACATGTTAAAATTTGCAGATGGGCTACAGCGGCAGAAGACCACACCAGGTGACAGCCCCAGAACAACTAAGCTTCAAGCAGAAGAGGCATCTATTAAGTGTCATCTATTAATCGCAAGGTTATTGGTTCGATCCCTTCTTCTCCAGTTAGCAAGCCAAAATATCCGCACATACGATGCTGAACCCCAAGTGGCTCCCCGATGTAAATGTTAGATAGAAAGCACTTAGATCTATGACTGCGTGAATGCGACATGGTGAAGCACTTTGAGTAGTTTAATCAAAAATGGTGCCTAATACAAATTTTGAGGAGTTATCTCGAGGATTAGTGAGAAACCCCAAAAACATGGACAAGCACTCACATAATAGAAACCATCTTCATCAATGTCACCAAACACAGCAATGATGTCACCAGCGCAAAACGTGAGTTCAGCCTATTAAGAGAGAGAGAGAAAGGGATACACAAATAATACAAAGTAAAATCCAGTTTCTGTTCCAGTTTATTTAAACAGACTGAATTAAGGAGTACAAAAGTGCTATTTTTGGACAATCTTTGTGGTTTTGTGTAACAATCACATTTCTATGTGTTTGTGAACCAAATTTTGCACATATTTTGTGTTCAGGTTTTTAGGTGTGTTGTAGTAGCTGGTTAGATATTTGTGCATTACACTATAAACACTTAAGCGTTGAGCAGTTTGTCCTTTACAGCAAACAATACCTCAACATCAACATTAGGAGAGCTCTCCCTGGGGTCGTAGTCGTACAGAGCCACCATCCTCCTGGAGGCCTGATCTCGACGCAGGCCTCTTCTGTTCTGCTCTGAAGGTAATTGTAAACGGCATTTTAACAGGAAGCGTCTCGTTACATGCTTTCTCTCACAATATCTAACCATTTTTTTTAAAGCTGTACATGGTTGTTATTTGTGAGGGTGTGCATGCTCTTGTGATACCTATTCTATCCACAGGTGTGCTGAGCGGCAGAAAGCCCTGTTTGATGAGCTGGTCCATGGTGTCCTCATCGTCTGCTCGTATCTCTGACACCATGTTACAGGGGATCAGACCCATCCTGCCCTTCACTTCACCTCTGTAAAACCCATCAGTATCTTTATCCCCATACACCTGGTAGATAAGAAAGAGCAATGTTTAAAGCTCATGCTATTACTACTTTCTTTATCCATTTGACATTTATGCTTGGCTTAATAGTTTACCTAACAGTGTGAATTCACCTTAAAAAAAAAAGAGAAAGAATGCATTACATGAAAACACTTGAAACTCCCACCCTAATGATCTGCCCCTCTTTGAAGGGCAGCTCTTCATCAGCAGCATCCGGGTTTGGGGACATGGACAGAGGATCGTAGTCAAAGAGAGCCACAAAGATCCTAAAGGGCTCCTCTGGCTCTGACTCATCATAGTATGTGGGAGAGCGGCGATCCCGATCCCTGTAGCCATCTTCAGCACATAAAACAAAAAGTAAAATCCCATTATCCAACCTCACCAACCAATAGACTTACAGAAATGCAGACCAAGTACTGTATTTTTCGGACCATAAGGCGCACCGGATTTTAAGGCGCACTGTCGATGAAGGAGTCTGTTTTCATACATAAGGGGCATCGGATTATAAGGCGCATTAAGCGAAACAAAGCAGTCAGATAAGTCCAGTGTTGCCAACTTAGCTACTTTGTCGCTATATTTAGCGAGTTTTCAGACCCCCTTTTTTCCTAAAAAGTGACTAGCGACAAATCTGCCGACTTTTTCCTGGTGTTACTGGAGACTTGTGACGACTTTTTCACATGAACGCACAAATCGCTCTTACTCTGAACAAGCAGCGGGTGCTGCCATGGGCACCTCGCCCGTGTGAAAACGCTCACAGGCAGCAGGTAGTCCTCACGCAGCAGTCGCCCCCAGCTGATGTCAGAGCAGGAGCTATTCAGCCCTACAGTACAAACTGCAAATAAATCGCGCATGAGCAAGCCGCTGGCGGGAGCAGCGGTAACTGTACATTTTTCTTTGTTCATTGATTCCTAAATCAATGCACTAAAATACATCATTCCAATCATTGCAAACTTAGAAATCGGATGTCTTGTACATCCGATTAAGACCGAAGCTGTCTGGTGAGGCTTGCTATGTCCATTTTGATTGTTAGTGGTTAAAAATGTTCTTCTTTTACTCTTACTTTTTGTGGATGACAAGGTTTAAAACTATTTAAAAAGACACACACACACACACCACAAAGAAAGTAACTCTGCCAGAGTGCCTATTTCGGGTCATTTTTGCTAGAAATTTAATTTGTAGTTCTAAATATTCTAAATACTTTTAGGGTTGTTGGTTTTTTGTTTTTTCTTTGGGGGGGGTTACTCACTTTATGTCTCTTCCACAATGTTATTTCTCTCTCCTACAGCGTCTGTTACAATTAAATAGGCAGGATTAATTGTGCAAATTAGGCGATGACGTCATTTAGCGACTTTTAGGAGAGCCAATAGCAACTTTCCTTACTGAGGAGTTGGCTACACTGGATAAGTCAAACTCAACTCATTCTTCTTGCTTCCACCACTTCTGTACCAGTGATTGTGATCCTGTTACTCTTTATTCTTTATTAGTCAATGTTAAATTCTCTCGCAGCTCCTCTATTCCCATGTTGTCGCAATGTATTCATGACTAACCTCGTATTGTGGATAGATTTTCTTAGTTGTTCTCCTGACTGAAGTTTGGTCCGTTTCTAGCATCCTGTCATGCGATTTCATTTGTCCCTAACCATCTGGAATCTTGTGTTAACTTTTATAGAGCGGAAAAAGGTTAGCATTCATCTTCCAGCTTCACTGTGGTTATGTTATGCTAACATAGCTGTGTTGCTAGCGATCACGTAGCACATCACTATATACCAGCTAGTCCAACTTCACTGCTGTTTAGTTTTCTGTCTTCATTTATGTTGGAAGTGATAGCAAAGCTGTACATTTTAATTTTTTCAGAAATCTCTCAGTCAGAAAATGCTATATCATCTTTAGGTGGAAACTAGCAAGCTAACTTCCTGCTAATGTCCAACTCAGTTAAATTTAATAAATTCTGTTTTCATGGATGCCTGGAGTTAAACTTAATTGTTACACCTGGTAAAGCAGCAACGCTGATCATTTTATTAAAGTTTAACTCTCAGTGATGCCGCAGTTTTAGTTTGACTTTGGGACCTGAAGAGAACTGAGTTTTGGACCCAGATTACTCTGTGAGGCTCCTGACTACAGTAGCCGTAATGCTCCAACAATCCATCAAGCAGTGCGGCTTCATAGCTTACCAAAGTCGTACTAAAACATTTGACAGATTTTTCAGCGCTGTTTACCACATAAAATCGCATCGAGGTCAGTAAGCACAACCAGAATTCATACATAAGTCGCACTGTCGATTTTTGAGAAAATGAAAGGATTTTAAGTGCCTTATAGTGCGGAAAATACAGTAGATGACTGTACATTATTTTTGTGTTATAAAATGCCGTAAAGTTAAAGTGTGGCTTTTCTATTACTGTGATGTAAACATGTGAAGTAAAGCTTTAACAGCCGGTGATTTTAAAATCACTTCTACATTAAAAATTATTCACAAAACTTATTGCTGCATACAGTGAACGCCACTTCTGTGATAAGCAAGTCTGTGATGCCGTGCTTCCGGTCACAAGAAATCAATGAGAAGATCCTGATAAGTCTTATTGATTTGACCATTCAGTATTTGCATGACAGATTTCACTTTCCGTATCAGGCCATGATTGTGGCTCTAACCATGCAGGAAGAAATCTGTGACCCAGTGAACTATTTTCTGCAGCACGCACACATGCATCCACAAATACACACATGCTACGTGTGTTTGAATTACTTTATTTATTTATTTTTATAGCATGTTTTTTTTAATGTTTGAATTTGTACATGGTGTCATGCATGAAAAAGAATAACTTTTTGATGTAAAACCTCATGAACTGTCAGGAAAATGCACAAACTATAAGCACAATGCATTAATAATGCAACAACTCAGTTATTGCAGTCATTATGAATCGTTAATCTTGTTCATGTGTACTACAGTTTAGTCCCTTCTATGAGCTGCAGACGTAAGAAACTAAGCATAACAGCAGTGAATCTGTCCACATGTTGTGATAGTGGTTAATTAAGCAAAACTTCTTCATGACATTACTGATACGCTGATAGTTCATAATGCTTTACATCAGTCAATTAGTACTTCTTCATACATAAAATCATGTAAGCATTCATAATAATTTGTGTGCCTTTTCCATTAATGGTCATCAAAGACGAACCATGGTGCAATACATAGACAAATCGTGATTTATGTGCATGACAACATCCGCGACAAACAAGACCCTGACATGCATGCTAAAGCCTTAGAGAAGAAAAAAGGAAAAAAAAAACCCCCAAAACATCTGAGAGACAAACAATCTAAAACAACCACACTGTGCCAACCCTCAAGGCAAGAAGAGGTCTCAAGCTGAGGCGGCAGTGTTGTTGTGAAGACCTGTGTATGTTTTTTGATTCGCTACAATAACACTGGGAAAATGCACCACCTAGCAAACACTATATGGCCAGTGCTTGAAAATACAAGCTTACAATATAAAAGAAAGCTAACATCTCAAACTCAGACGTCTAAAGAAACAAGAAGCAATGCCAATGTGGTCATTCTTTAGTGCCTACCACTGTCATATCTTTTGAGTTTCATGCATGACTGGTGTAGTGGGTGTGGTTGTATCACAAAGGGAAGGGTTTTAGCAGGCGTCTGGAGTTCAGTGCAGTGTTGTGAGGCATTCCCTAAACAGTCAAGTCAATCATTTATCATCTGCATCTGTGGAAATGTTGATCCTGGACCCAAAGCATGGTTTGCCAATGGGTCCACCATTTCAGTGCATTGCGGTCATGCTGTTCAACTGTAAGCATAATAACAATAACTATTATTTTTAAAGACAAAACATTTGCAAGTGTCCACAGCTATTTATTGCAATTTGCCAGGTGCTGGTGGCACTTTTGTTGCCATGCTGTGGTGGTAAAAACAGGACTGCAGGCACATACCATGGGGAGACCTGGTGCCGCCCATGTGCCTGCGGGATGACCAGGTCCTGTGTCGAGCTACTCTGCCATAGTAAACATCCTCGGTGATGGGAGAGAGGTTTCCCTCACTGTTATTCTCAGAGGTTACCTCTACAGAAAATACCAGTTAGAAGGTGATGAGGTTACAAATCAAAGCTCTACTTTCTCCTCCCAATATGTTAAGTGAAGATTTGCGTTGCCTCCTAAAACAGGTGATAACAAATTTTCAGTTATATTTCTAGCCGTCGTCACTGTTAGAGTAGATTAACTTATCACTCTGTGCTGCAACAGTGCAAAGCGGTTTAATAATCATCATCATCATCTCCATCTCTGGAAGATCAAAGTCAAGGTACTGAAAGGGATGAGCATGATTCGCAGACACAAAGGTGATCTGGAGACAAAGACTTCATGAGCTTCTTGGTATTTAAAAAAAAAAAAAAAAAAAAAAGGAGCAAATGCGACTGCACTAAGGGACAGAGAACCTAAAATATAGCCATCTGCCCATACTGACCAATGGAGGGGACCATCAGGGGTCGTCTCTGAGGCTGGGGACCGCCGTGATGCGCTCGTCTCCCACTATCCCGATCATGGCGGCCTCCAACAGGGGTTGTTGTCTGAAATATACACAAACATAGAAAGCATCCGCAGACAAAGCATTCATGTGTTGCTCACAGAACCGTGAACATACCCGTAAACAGCGTGTGAAAAAGTGCATGTCGAACATACTTGTACAAACTGTATGTAAACAAAATCATGCAGTACTCACAGGCAAGCACTGAAACATAGACGCGCACACGTAGACTCACATTCAGACACACACACACACACACACACAAGCCCATGGGAAATATTTCCATTCCAAAATTAAGAAATAACTAGTATCGCTCTACCCAGCTACTAAAAAAGAAAGGCAAAGATATTTGTCAGTGCCGGCTAGGCTACACCCCTCAGCTTTATGTCTCCCTTTGTCATGATAATCTTTTCAACCCAGTCTCACCCTTTAGCTCTCTCCAAGTTCTGTCCTCTGTGTTTTAATCAAATCCAGTCTATCACCGTTTCACTGCAAAGCACCCAAACACAGAAAGAAACGATCCCTTTCTGTGTTTCTGATTAATTAAAGGAGCTTTTTGGCAGCAGCAAATGGAGTCTTTGGTCCAGACTTTGAAGATTGCATTTTTTCTACACTGACACGTTTGTTCACTGAAGTAAAAAAAAGCTTCTGTAGTTTCTGCGATGACATGCTTTAAAAAAGTGGCAAAAAAAGTCACGTGTTTATGAAAGCAGCAACAGCGGTGCCTGAAAGCATCTAAAACCCAGTCTACATCTATCCCTGTTATTTTTTATATATATATATATATATATTTTCCGCACTTTCTCCCTCCATAGTGCAGAAAGCTTCAAACCCGGTAGCTTTCATCATCTCTGTCTATGGTACTGAAATAGTCAAACCCACTGCATCTGCCCTTCTATCCATGGGCTTTTTCTTTCTGTATAAAATTTGAATTAAACTCAGCACACACACTAATGACACATATCAAAAGCAAGGCAGCAGTCTCAACTGAAGTATCTGTGCCTGTGCAGTTCACTTAATAATAATTTGCTTGGATAAGTGCAAAGAACTGCACCTTGGGTGTGTTGTGCGAGTTGCGTCGACGTCCCTCTTCCAGCTTCATCTCAGAGTACAGTTCCTCCTCATCCTCTTCCATGATGTCAGACAGGTCAGAGCCCCGGCTGCTTTCGCTGTGATAATCTTCATTGTGACTATAGTGAGGCTTTTGGTAGTTACACACACAAACGAACAGACGCGATTAAGTCCGCATACAAACATACATACATGCACACACCAAACACACATGGATAAGGCCAGCACGCCCACGTGAACACACATAAAGACACGGGTTAAGGAGTGTGTACACATGCAACCACCTCAGACGTACATGCACACACACACACACGTCCAGATGCACACATGTGAGGAGGTTTTTCCACTGAAACACACGTTAGGTGCTTGAGCTCAGAAGTGTGATAAGCAAAGTGTGTCGCTTATCACACGGGTCTTACCGGCCTCCCCAGCTCAGAGCCTCTGAGGAACTCGTCAACCGAGGGTCCTCTCCGTCGACCGCGAGCAAACCCTTCCTCGTCTTCCTCTTCCTCATCAGAGTGATGCTGGTGAAATGAATGACCCTGTTCTCCATATCTGCCCTGCCTTCTGTCACCCTGAAAACATGCGTGTGTAAATAGGAATGGAACAGCGTTAACGGTGTCTTTAGGTTTTATTATAGTAACAATCACAGAAAGCTGAATATTCTTTTATGTTTAGCAACTTGTGACACTTCCCTTTTTCAGCTACTCTAAATTCAAATTAAAGCAACAGTTTAATGACAGTGACTTGTGCTAAAATATATAACATCATTTTCATTAAGCATCTAGAGTGTTGTGTGAGCCAGCATTTCCATCTTCACCAGACCTTTCCGCTTTCTGCTGCCACCCTCTGAGCTGCTTCTCGAGCAATAGCTTTGGCCACAGTGTCCGGGATAAGCGTGCCTCTGGGCTGAGGAAGAATCCTCTGGGGTGAGGGAGACCGTGGATTGGCAGGTGATGGGGCTTCAAGGGTGTGGCCTTGCATGGGCACTGGAAGCTGGACAGAAGGAGAGCGTGTAGGGTCCCAGCCAGGTTGGCCAGGTAGAATAGCTCCCCCGTGATGGGCCGCATGGTCTTTGGCATCCAGGTCTCTGGCACTTACTGGTCTCAGAGGTATAAGGTGGGGTTGGGGTTGGGGGTGGGGCAGCAGAGGCAGTTGGTGCTGTGGCCTGGGACCTTGGTGGGGTGGACGAGGCTGAAGATGCAAGGGCTGCGGCTGGGGATGGGGAGGACGAAGCTGGGGTTGCGGGGGTCCACCTTGATGGGGGAGTCTGGGATGGGGTTGAGCATGTGGAGGACGGGGCGGCAGTTGTTGTCCATGTGGTGGAGCGGGAAGTTGGGGTGTGGGATGAGGAAGGTGAGGGGATTGGAGGAGAGGTTGAGCATGGGGGTGTGGAGGGGGGCCCACGTGAGGATGCACTGGTGGTGGCAGGGGAAGCGGAGGTAGAGGCACAAGCAGGTTGTTTGGAATGACAGCAACTTGAGAGTCCTGGGATTCTCCCTGGACCGACAGTGTCCTAACGATGACCTCCCTGGCCTCGAGGCATTGAATCCTTGTCAGTTCAACCGTAACATAGTCTGCCATAGGGAACAGCACCTCAGCTATCTAGAGCCAGAAAAAAAATGTTAACATAAACAGTGGCTGCAGTTTCATTTTAACAACAACTAAAACATTATCGGTATCAGAGTCAATACATCCAAAACAAAAATGGACAAATCCAGCTACTGAAATTTGACTAGCCCCCTGCACTTTATAGTGTCAAATAAGTGATTTCACTGAACTAACAAAAATACCTCTTTAATTTGATTTATTATGGTGGGAAAAACGCTCTTAAGATTTCCACCTGCAGGGGCAGCTCAAACACAGGTTTCTGCCCAGTGTGGCTGAACGTCAATTTACCCTTTCAGGTTTACTGTGCTGATTTACTTTAGCAGTCACCAGAGGGAGCGAGAGACCTTTCCAAGACCCAGACCTGCACCGCATGTTAATTACAAGTAGGTGGCACTGCTGAGTGAACTGATGGTAATGATGACATAATGCCACGCTGAAAGGCAGAGGCTGTTAATGTCCCATCTGTGGTGTATATTCTCATGTTTTGACTGGATTACGCATGATTAAACATTTCACAGTGTTGTAAATACTGTATCCCTGTACAGCATGTAGACCTTAGGAATATACATCCCATATGCTTAGGATTTAGCCACAAACTGCTGTAGTTTCTCATAACAGAACACAATACATCATGAGCAATGCCTTTAAATCAAAATGAGCTCTGTGTGATCACTCATTATATCCTTTTAAAAAGACTGATATATAAAAAGTAAACTAGTCTTGGCAGGCGAGACCTAGACATGCTAACTCACCCTCTGCCCTTTAGTGCAGACTGCGTAACCAATGACATTTGCCCCATTGGATGTGCCTGTGGGAGAGAGGAGGGGGGGCTTCCAGCAGACTTGCAAGACCCCTGGAGCCTGCCCACAGAGCACCTGAACATCGTGGGGTGGCAGCGGAGGCCCTGGGAGGTAACCAATCCAGTGTGTAAGAAAAATAATCTCTTACGGTTTACTGATTTAGTACATGTAGGATACAAACGAGAGGGGGAATGATGTGAAGCATTCATCAGATGCACAAATATGTACACACACACACACACACCCCACCATGCACAGAAATGCCCAGACACAAAGGAGGAAATGAGGACGTGAGGTTGGGGTGGGGGGCTGGGGTTATAATTTGACTTGCATATCTAAATTTATGAAATTACATAACAGCTTATTTGTATTTTGCAGAGATACACAGTTCATGCGGGCTTCTTGATAGCATGACATTGCTGGTGGGAAACATTCACAAAACACTGCGTGTTGTGTTTAGACAATGTCATTTAAGTGTATGGTGAGTTTTTGCACAACACTAATATTTCCTAACCTAAGATGATTGTCAGATAAATCAAGATGAAAATTTTATTTTTATTTTTATATACAGACCTATATTTTTAGGTCTGTATTCCTTATATTTGCTATTCTACTATAACCTTTCAGTAATCTTTGGAAGAGATGAAAACTTTAAGCGTTGCCCCAAGATATACACTGCTGTCTCCACATGCAGAGAGCCTGATTACAGCTCAGCATTTCTTTTTCCTGATCTCTTTGAAATCTGGATAAAACATGCAAACTGCATTCGAGCAGAAGCAAATGCACACTGATAGAAAATGGTCATTTCAGTGAGCAGTGGAGGGGCACCGCTTTATATAGAACTGGCTATGTCAGGCTAGGCTATAGGCTGAGGAAATGACTCGTCGTAATTATTGATCATATCTCGTGCTGCTCTGGTATTCTCTAATTAGTGAAGTGCACTGTGCAGCAAACTTGGGCAAAATTGCATACAAATTTGGTTTCGAACAACAAATTGTGCATTTTCAAAGGACGTGAATGACAGACTTGTTTTTAAAAGGTTTTCAATCTCAGAACCAGAATAAGATGCCATTTTGCCCACATTTCATAATAAACTGCATATGCTGAACAACATGGCACAGTCATCCTCCCTGCAAAATGTGTCAGAGCACTAATGACATCCCTTAGGTTTAGTGCTGGAATATATGGGAAACCCAGCACTGAAGCTTCGTTCTGACCTGTTCTGCAAAATGGTGTTGGACCTAGACAAAATACAATACACAACAACGACATGGTAAAGAAATGTGACGCTATACTATTCTAGAGCAGAGTACAATAACATTAGAATTCATATTACAATACATGATCTTGCATATGAGAGTTAAACTAAGACTCTTAGAAGCATGTGAAAGTAATCGTCAGCTATTAAGCTGCGCATTATTGATACAGTATCTCTGTGGATAATAATAAACCTTTCTGACCTGCTGCCTGAGTGCAGAACTCCACGCCGGCTTCCTTCCTCTCTCTCTGCTCCAGCGGCAGTTGCCACGGCACCTGGTGGGGCTGCGCCACCACCGTCACTTTGTAAACTGTCAGGGGCTTCAGGTTGTGGAACCGTAGTCTATACCTTCCCGGTTTTACCGCTGCGTGCTCTACCCCGTCTAAGAACACAGTGTGAGCATAGTTGCTGTTGCTAGGCAACCAAGAGAGCTCGGCAGTGTCACGCTGAATGTCATCGACGCGCAGGCCGCACGGCGCCACCACCACATTGGCTCCCACCAGCAAGGTGCAGCGCAGCTCATCTGACAGGCCCCGGTCTGTGACGCTCTGCACTGACACACGGTGGACGCAGCCGTCCAGGTCCAGCTTCTCCAGCAAACACTTGGTCCGACCACCGTATGGTATATTGGCATGAAGCTCCCCATCTACTAACACATTGTAGCTAGAGATGTTCCCCCAGCCCAAAGGCACTAGTGGAGGCTCCCAGGCCACGATGACACTCCGTGCCAGCTGCTTGATCAAGGTGATCTTTCTGGGGTAAGGCACAACGTCTTCTGCCAGGTCCTCAGGATCCAAGGCCCCACCTGTCCCATTGCTACAGGGAACCAAGGCGTTTGCTGAGCTCAGAAGGCCATCCTGGGAGGCACCTCCATCCACAGCCATCAAGGCTAGGGATGTGTGCTCAAGTGAGCCGAGATCTTCCCCTGCGTCTCCAGCCTGAATGCCTGGTTTTTCCTTGTCCTGGACAAACTCCACAAAGTTGGAAGGAACAAGTCCTCTTTGGCCATCCAGCAGCTCCCCTGTCATGCATAAACAAGTACAGACACAATGGTAGAAAATAACAGAAATATGTCATTCATTTTTTAAATTGATATTTCTAGTTAAAAAGAATAAAAGTAGATAACAGAAAATCCTGCTACTATTTAATAAATGTCTCTTTAGGAAACAACTTTCTGTTTTGATGCCACCTGTAAGTGTTAAAATTAGGCTTCTCTCACAACACAAAGACAAAAGCAAAGCAATAACTTAAACACATAAATCGGTGAGAGCTTCTTCTTTTTTTTTTTTAAACCTGCAAGGTGGGAATGAGTCACTGAGTGAGAGGTGGAACATATGTAAACATACAGCATGTTCTATTCCCTAAGATGTAAGATTCCCCACGGGTTCTCTGATGCCATCTTTCATACTCCAACACACAACTTAGAAAACACTCCTTTCAACATTTCTAAGGACCTCAGCGTTTGAACATTTCCAGGAGCACCCCAGAGTACGTAGATGCTGCGGTCAATGCAGAAAAAAAAGAAAGAAAAGAAAGTGCTTAGATTTGCAGTGTAGTTTTTCCCCCAGGGCAATAAGTTTGTCTTCAACAAAGCTCCCTATCATCTCGTCCTTCAATCCCTTTTTCCACAGAGGCCTGGGGAGCCTTAGACCATCTTGGTGTGTCTCTACAAGTGTATCTGAGCGAGTGTGTTTGTTGTTTATGTGTGCTGATGATTAAGCTGAGCCCTGCTGGATTAGTCATCAAACTAAGAGACCAAGGTCCCAATCCTGACAACAGCTTGGTATGCAGCCCAAGTCGCCCCTCCTGTGTGGTAAATACAGGGACCGTCTGCAATACCATGCAATCTGACTGCACACAGCTAATGAATCACGGGGCTTTCTATGACGGTCTGTGCTGGCTGCAGGATTGCTAGCAAGGGGGATTAGGATTGCCTCTGATGGAGAAGCCTTCATAATTATAAAGAGATTATACAGAGAGTGAGTCCAGCCACCAGTTATGAAAAAGTATTGGGAAACTTTTCTTCATGACACCACGCACTGACTAAGTGGAAGTCACGCGATGAAAGTAGCCAACTAGTATGTATGACGGACATATTCTACATCAGGGTGACAAAGCCTGTCAAGCAGTCCTTGCAGCACGTTTACAAAAATGACTGCATCAGCATTACGTTTAGATTGTGCTGTATCATTACATAACACGACATAATGTAAAGAGACTGCAGGGGCACAAAATGCATCACAGATACAATGTGTCATTCAACACATACAACATTTTTGCATATACCACTTACTGCACAGTGTGCTGTAGGTGCAATGCAGTAGGGCGATTGTGGCTCAAGAGTTGGGTGTTCGTCTTGTAATCGGAAGGTTGCCGGTTTGAGCCCCGGCTCAGACAGTCTCGGTCGTTGTGTCCTTGGGCAAGACACTTCACCTACCACCTACCAGTGATGGCCAGAAGGGCCGATGGCGCGATATGGCAGCCTCGCCTCTGTCAGTCTGCCCCAGGGCAGCTGTGGCTACAACTCACCAGTGTATGAATGTGAGAGTGAATGAATAGTGGAATTGTAAAGTGCTTTGAGGGGTCCCGAAAAGCGCTATATAAATGCAATCCATTATTATT